CTTAAGAAATATTGCGAGTGCTATCAGGTTTTTTACCACCAAACAGTGATGGTTCCTTACTTTGTTGTATTATTATTATTATTTATTTTTTCATATAGTATATGGCTTTGTGCTACATACCTATGTCTTTTGCTGATCTTGTAACACTAACAGGCTAATGTCGGATGCTCTGAAGGATGCCGTTGTGAAGGATGTAAAAATATATATGGAATAAGAGAAGGTAAATTATATTTGAGAAGTTTTTATTGCCCTTTGTGTGTGTGGGTGTGTGTATGGGCATGGGTGTGGGTGTGGGTATGTCTATGGGCATGGGCCTGGGCGTAAATGTGGGTGTGAGTTTAACTGTTTAAGGCAGATAGAATGGCAAACTGATCTTACCTTTTTTTTTCCCCATTATTGGTTCCATTATAGTATGATGCTTTAGAGCACAGTAGATAGTTTTATTGCTACTAACATGTATGTTTGTCAAACCTTAATCTATTTGTTGTCATGTAAATGGTAATTGGTAACACACGTGCTAAATGAAGAGCTGAAAAGGATGTAGAAATGGTGATCAGCTATATCCCTAGTTTATGCCAAACTCTTTTCAATTTGTTAATCTGCTTTTAAACAGTACAAGGAGTCATTTTTCATGAGAGTCTGTAGTTTATCAGCTTATATTTGAGCAAGCTACTAGGCCAACGAGTCAATTCCACTTTTCTGCGACTAATTATTGCACTTAATTTTGGTGAGATCTATCCACACAACTATATCTCTTCATACACAACTGTCTGATCTGGATTGACTTTCTTTAGTCTTGGACAACTATACTAGCAACTTTTATGTAGCTCAGATCCCTTTTGAAATAATACTCTCTTGAGCAACTTGTGGTGCTTGATCTGATATTCTAATGCCTCTTGTGCTAGTGCTGGTGTATAGACTTTGTATTCATGTACCTTTCCTTCACTTTCTTTTACCAAGCAATTGAATTTTTACTCTGTTGCTGTGATTGTTGTTGTTGTATTCCGTACTATGATAAATTGTCACTCTGGTCTACTCCACAATATTCAAGATCTTCCTTTCTCTTTCTCATTTTTTGGTTGGGTCTCAAGTTTTTTGATTATCCTAGGGATGGCTCTATATCCTTCATAACAGACCAAACAAATCCAATCGAAAGAATATTAAAAATTCTCATTACTATGCCAAACATAGCAAGATGATATTTCCGTAGAGTTTTATGTATATTCATTATGTTGAAACTTGAAAATCAACTCATCACATCCTTGACCCATATGCAAGGGCTGAGTAAATGATTCAAGTAGATTGAAGATTGGATTGCTCACTGCTTAGTCCTTGAGCTGCGACAATCATGTCATGCTGCATTATAAAATAGCCTGGCCAAGTGGTAGCTAAATTTGATTAGCGCCTGGTTGCTATAAAGAAGTAAAGAACTACTTTGCTCTTCAGTATTGAATCTAAAGAGGATTGGTTTTTGGTTATGCTTATTAATTACTATCTTAAAGCTGAGTGGAGCATTTATATATATCTAATTTTTTGCCACATCTAACGATCTAATATAGGTTGTGTATTTATGGTAAGGACAATGAAGCTAAGATTGTAAATTAGGCTCGGTTATATAGAAAATCTTCTAGGGGTGCAGTGCATAGTCTTGTACTCTTGTGTAGATGCTATGTTGGCATAAAACCAGTAACAATTATAGTGGAAATTTTCTTCTGATAATTACCATGGAGAGCCTACTGATTTACAATAAAGTTTAACCAAATGAAGAGGCTATTTTACATGGTTCAATAGGAGCAAGAATTTGACTAAATTGTGAACACAAAAGGAATCAGTAACAGAGAAGAACCATAAATCATTAATGAATGCATCTGAACCATAAATTTAAGGAATATCATATACTTGTATTTGATCTGGTCTGACCTGCAAAAGCTGGTTTATCAGTACTGAAGTAAAAAATTAAGGAATAGTGTTCATCCCTTGATAAATATTGTCATCCTGCATATGTGCAATGTTAGAATAATGAAGAATCAATATTGTCTTTTATTCTCATCAGCTATTGAGGGCCTTGGGGCTACCTACTGTTTCAGTTGCTGACAAACTGATAAAATATTGCATAGACCTGGTTTATTCCTAATTTGAATTATACTATTTTGTACAAGTAAGCTGCTATGTTAAATTTTGTTGACAGGAGCTTGTCTGTTCTCCTATAGCTTTTAGGATTTTTGTAAATAGTATATTGGAGCAAACAGAGTTGTTCATAAGCTAAATACTCGTAATAGATTTGACTAGCTAATCTACTTTTAGAGGTGTTTGTTATGAATTAGATTGAAGAGTAGGATGGGGTCAGTATGCTATTTTTCAATATGCTATGGAAGGAGCATATTGAAATGAACAACAAACCATTTGATTACCAATTATTTACCTATTTTAGATTAAATTGTTTTATTTATTTATCTATTTCTTTGTTGTTGTCAATATATGCATCCAAAAAGCTTACAGAAAACTCCTAACTAGTAATTTATCAAATGCTTGTTAGAGAATCTGCTATTTAATCGGTCAAACATGCTAAAACAACTTGGGACTTATTGCTGGTTGCCAAATGATACCATAACCATAATCTGCTCATGATGTTAGTGTTGGTTGATATCAATGGTATACTTTGTAGAGTTTCTACAACAAACTCCCTCTTAATTTGCTTTTTTATCATAGTTATTTAATGTGTTTTTGCTACGCTTCAATCTCTTAGCAAGACCTTAACCTGGACTTATTACCTATGTTAGTGGGGCCAAATTGTATACTTTTTACATCAAATTGTCTCATCTATGCCTTCTTTTATAGCTTCTTGTTTTAAATAGACTTGGTGCAAACATAGAATTTATCATTAGCTTAGTTGCATCCTGCTTAATGTACACAACTTGCAGTTATTGAGGGCATTAAAAGAAAGTTACTGATTGCATGGATTGTGTTGAAGTTATGTTGCCTTGTCATTGAGCTTATCTGCTCAATATTAATAATGATGCTTTCCTTTTGCAGATTATAATATTGCCAGAGAAATTATGCTTAAGAGAGCATCTGTTGAAATGTCAGAAGGAACAATGACTGTCAATAATAGTTTTGTCAGCAGTAGGGTGCACAGTTCTCCTAACCTGACACCAATTACACCAGCATTGCAGTGCTCAGAGTAAGATTATATCTGCCTTAAGTCTTTGGTCCTTGTATCTTTGAAGTTTCATTTCACTAACTGCATGGTCTTTATTTGATGCAGCCAGAAAAAGAATGCTCTCAAATCTCGGCTACCCTTCAGGAAATTTTTGCACCCTCCAGAATCTCATACTGATACGTTGACATCTGAAGAAAACCCAGCTTCTCCATCAAATTCACAGAACCATGGTGAGCTGTTAGAAAAAAATAAATGTACGGATGTAGGTGTTCATGATGCAGAGAAAGGCCCGGAGAACACAGAAGACAGATTAGTACTTGCAGGTGATGATGAGTCCGTAAATGCACATTGTTCGTCCCAATTGGCAAAACCTGATGTAAAAAATAGCATCTTGAGAAATATATCACAGCCTGAGTCTTTTGCTGAAAGTGGTCCTCTGGCACCAAGTAGTTCTCTTCGATGGCGAAGCTCACCCATTACTCCAATCACACAGTTGGCCACTTCTGAACTCAAAGAATTTGGTACAGGTAGCAAACAATCTGACATATTTGAAGATGACACCCCTGAGATACTGAAGCAGTCACCTACCCCCATTAAATCTGTAAAACTGAGCTCCCCTAATAAGAAGCGGATCTCTCCCCCTCACAATCATATTAATTCCTCAGAAGCCGTAAAATGTAGCCGCAAATTTGTACTGCGTGCTGTGCCTTCATTTCCTCCGCTTACTCCGTATTCTAAAAACAGCAACCTTGACAACAGAGGTTAAACATTTTATTTAGATACCAGATTCATACTTATTCACATGCAGTTTGAGGTGAGTGAATCAAATTTTTTTTTTTTCCATTGAACATATTTGGAGTTTATTGTCAATAGATTCAGGTGAGCTATGTCATTCTCTAATGATTTTTATGTGATTCTCCAGGCATCATTTGGTTTCGTGTATCACAGCTTGCACCAATGAGTGCAAAGGTTGGTCTTCTGAACTCTGGATCTAGATGTGAAAAAAATATTTGTTGTTTGAGATCAACTATCTGGGTCTTCTGCTGACAAGCTGCATCATGATATTATGAACTCCAACTGGTCGCATACACCGTAATCTGAATCATAATCTGCTTGTATTTGCCGAGATCTCAAGATGTAACCTCCTTTCAGTTTTCCTTCTCTTTGCTCCTAGGGGTATTATTCTTTTTCCCTCTAATTGAATATTTATAGGGGTTTTAAGAAAGCGAGTAAATAAATTTGACAAGTACACAAATTGATAAACTGTCACAAGATGCTCTACAGTTGTAATTCAGAAATTTTGAATTATTTCAACCATTGTAAAATGGAACATCTATCTATAATTTGTGGAAGCCTTTTTCCTATCTCAATTTTGGTGACTCAAAATGAGCTTGGCCATCTATCCATCAGCCATCTCAGAAAAACTGAGTTCTATAAGAAAGCATAAAAGATTTGGGTACAGAACTTCTAAGAGTTTAGCTAATTGCCTAATATCAGTACCACCTTTGTGGCTAACTAAGAAGGGCCGAAATATCAGTACCGCCTTTGTGGCTAACTAAAGGTTGGTTTACTAAGGGTACGTAGGACATTTTGCCCCGTCTTAGTTTCATAAATAATTTGGTAAATAGACATATTAAATTTGCAAGTCCTCAAGTACCAGATTGATTGACATTTTGCTTCTGCTACAATAAGCAGACTGCGGATTAAGGTCAAGGGAGATTTTGGTATTTCAATCTATAACAAGCTCGATTTCTCATCATACATATTCAAGACACAAGTAAGTTCTACATCGGATTTATTGATCAACTCAGTACAGAAAAGAGTAAATTTTCTCATCATATGGTAGAAAATATCAATAGTCCAAGGATTATGAAGAGAGAACATCATGTAATATATTTCATATGCGAATAATATTTTTCAAGATACAAGGATTATACCATGTTTTTCATTATATACTATAAATATGTTTCCTTATTGCCATCTATTAGTAGCATTTCAACATATAGCTAGCTAGCTTTGCTCTTGATAAGGTACTTTGCCTTTTAGTTTACTTCCATATCACTGCGTATAACGGTTCTACGAATCTGAAGGGGTCCCTTCAAGCTCCAACACTGTGGTTAGCCATTTGCAGACTTCTTCAGTTTCTTCAGGGATGGTGTAATGACCTAGCCTGTTTAATAAAAATCAACATGGTAAGACCAAATCTCAAGGAAGTTCATCTTTTAGTAAGTGTTGTAGCTAATACAAGGATCATGTACCCATCATAGCTCCTGAAAGTAATATTCTGGAATCCAAGTGAAGTAAGGGTTTCCACAGCTTTCTCTCCATGATCGTGCGCAACCACTTCATCAGCTGAAACACAAAGATTAGACGAAGAGTTACTATGGCTCCTTGATGAAAAGTAAGGCTTAATGTCCTAGATGTATGCCAGTATGCCATTTCAATCTTTACTTGTAAAAAGGGTGTTTTGTACTTAGATTCATAGTGTTAGGTATTTAGAATATTTCTAAGATAAATTGAGATAAAGAGACGCGAATACTTCATGAAGGGAAGTGGCACTAATTGTACTTTGTAAATGAGTGATATGAACTATACTCCTTGTATTTTACAACAATAGGATATAAAGGGTAGCCCAAGTGATATGCAAATTGCAATCATTATTTATGGAAATAAATATTAGATTTAGCTTTGTGTTACCCTTCAATTTTCAACTAGCATTAAAAAAAAAAAAAATAAATAAATAAATAAATAAAAAAAGAGAAAAATTGAAACACAGAGTCATCTTAAACTTGAAGTGTAGAAGAAATAGGTGCAAAATAAGACATCATCATAAATTATTTTAGTATGAACTATGGAAAAGTCATGAATTATGAAGGGTATCTTACGATAAAAATAGTACAAAAATTGAATCAAAAGTTAACCTAGTGATTAGCAATTATTATGTATGGGAATAAATTCTTAAATTAGCTTCGTGTCACATAGATTCAAAGTTCAATTGGCATCATCCAAAAAAGGGAGCAAGAAAATGAAACAAAAAGGAGTCTTTAAAGTTCAAAGACTAGTAGAATTAGATGCAAGAGAAAAGATAACATCACGAGCCGTGACAAGCAAATAACACAATAAGAAAGAAATGGGAATACCTGATCCATGGCAGAGTAAAATGGGCAATGACGCTGCACGCTGCTGAGCTTCTTGAGACTCTTCCATCCATGTTTTCAATGAACTGAGAAATTAAAACTATGATTAAGCACAAGGATTCTAATGTAGAAAGATTCCACTTTGTAAAAATGCAACTTGATAAACAAAATGTATTGAGTTCCATATCAATAAAGTACATAAACCTTGAACATGGCAGCCATCCACTTAGTCCAACAACTACACTGAGATAGATAGGATAGGGGTTTCCATTCCTGTATCGCCCTAACACTTGGCATATCATAGAATACAGAGAGATTGCAGCACCTACGTTGAAACCTCCAATACCAAGCTTGACTGCAGTAGTAGTTCAAAGATTAATACCAATTCATAGAAGAGAAGTGCTTTGACAAGTTGATGAAGTTTATGAGCTTGATTGGTATTTATATTTTCTTCAGTAGGGAAACATAACATAAAAAGGTGGAGCGTAAGATCTCATTTATCACCTTTAGATAAGTGTTGCACTAATTAAAATAATAATTAGGCTAAAAAACTATTGGCAATTAGTAGCAAGTTTCACCGCTAATCTTGTACGATAACTAGGTATATACAGGTAAAATGCACTAATAGCAGGTCCAGAACAGATAAACGAAAGCTAGATTATGATAATGTGGGTGAGACATGTTGACAGTTAAAGAAAATGGAATATGAAGAGCAACGATTTTTGTAATATGAAAAAAAAAGTTCTCTTTTCAGCAAGTAATAAATGGAAATTGATTGGACAAAGTAAAAGTCAGGAAGCGTTTATATTCAGAAAACATACAAAATACGAGGGGGGAAATAGGAAACCAAAGATAAGTATGAGAAATATAACGTAAACAGAAAGTAGGAATCTGTCAAAAGTTTTTCAACAAGTTATAAAGAAATATGTTTAAATGACAAGAGAGGGATATTGCTCATGTATAAAACGAGCTAGAGCCAAAATTATATTGCCTTTAAGCTATCATGTAACACTGAAATCCAAAAACACATACTGTCAGAGGGTTCACTGGACAGAAGGTTGGCGATGTGTGCTGCTGAAGCATCTAAACCTTCCAAATCATCTGGAGCACTTTGCGACATATCTTCCACATCAAACCCTGCCATTTTCATACCAAGACTTCTAAAGTAAATATACACACACTAGAAATCTGTAGATACCAAAACATAAGTTTAAGAGCCAGTAGTGACTAAGAAATGATAGCCACAGTACTCACAAGAAGTGCATGGAAATCCCCCAAGAAGTGCAACTGGGCGAGTAGGAGCAGTTGGACAAATCCACTTAATCTGCATGGTTATCATACTATAAAATCTGAGCTCACAAATAGTATAAGAAAAATGCAAATGGAAGTCTTTGCTATCTGAATACACAAATTTTCTGAGAAAAATCTGCCCAAACTTACATTTGGAAGGGGAAGGGTCTCGAAGAGCTGAGACCAGCTGCAGCATTAGAATATCAGCGTTAGTTTTTGTATGAAATTAAGAATCCAGCCTACTTAGATGGAGAAGCACTCTAAGGACTTCAAAGTTAACAATATTGAAAAAGAAAACATAAAATAACCAAGAAACACATTTGGACCACTTTAAAACTACAGAAGGTCCATCAAATAATACTCTCTTAAGCACGGTATGTGCCTTTCCAAGAGCAGTAGAATATTTTGTTTACATATAAAGACAACCAAAAATGAAATAGAATATAGCCTTCTCTGTTTTGCTCATGCTGTGAGTGAATAATGTTAAAATTGGACAAACATACATGTTCAGAGGACCTTGCAAGATAGTGTTTCTGCGGTCCCCTATATGCCAGGTTTTAACAATATGACTCACCAACACTTTTGAGTTTGACTTCAGGAAGGAATTATTCTCAAAGGAGTTCAAAACAAGAAGGGGATGAGAAGGTTTCTTAAAAAGCACGGAACAAATTAGCAGCTAGCGCGCATGATTAACACACCGTATTTTTTGTTACCAAACATATTCCTGCCTTTTTCTTATTAGGTATAGGTCAGCATAACACATACTTATCCTAGTGGATTTACGATATCTACACTTTATGCTCTAAAGCATATGCGTGTATGATCAATCAGAAAAATATACTCCCAAAACAACCTAGTCCATGCAAATCAGGTTTTCCTGGACAAAGTTTGATTAGTAACAATTACAGAATGAGAACTTATCATTGCTGTCAGCCTATCAAGGATTTAACTTAAGAATGGGCAAGAATATTGAAGCAAAAAGCAAAACGCTAGAATGCCTTTCATTGAACGGTTTACTGAAGTTACTACCTCAAGCCTTTGTCACCCATTCCATGCAACCAAACTAAAGTAGCCTGGTGTTTCCCTTTAGGCCTGACAACATGAGTTCCTCCAAATTCCAAATTCGTTGTCATAGGAGTAGCCTCTTCAATGTCCTCACTACCTGAAACAATAACAGGGAATTTCAACAACGAAAAGTAATTTTTCCTCATTGACTTCATTCCAATAAATTCTAGTTTCAATCCTAATATCCCACTTCCAATATGAATGACCAAGATAAGTTTCCGTTAGGACAATAACTAGGAAACAAATCCCTTATAATAAATTACTTCAAAAAGGTTCAATTCTTCTACTTCCCAAACCAGGTAATCAACCCCCCTCTTTATTCTTTCCTTAAATGTACAACTTTCTTACACTTTCCAATTATTCTTAGGACATATAACTAATTCAAATGCTAAAAAACTTTCTATTGACCACCCTACTACAAAAACTACATTGCCAAAGCCGTAATCCTAAAAGAATGGATTCGTCTATTCTATTAACTACCTGAACCGCGAAATTCATCACCACATGGATTCATCTTTGCTTAACCACTCAACCACAATGACAAAGTTCAAGCCTGGCTATTCCTATTTATACAAACAAATGGGGGCAAAATGGAAATAAACCCAAGAATCTGAATCACCTCTAGCAAACTTTCAACATCATAGACCATGATAATACACACACTCACCGACCTTGAACTCAGAAAATATCCTAAATTAATAAACTAATTAGAAAGATAAAAAGCACTAATTAAGGTCTAAGTATTAATTACAAGAGAGATGAATTTTCTGGAGGCTAAAAGAAGAGATGATGAAAAGTTTTTTTCTAAAAAAAAAACCCAAAAAAGTAGAACTCCTTTTTTGAAAAGAGAATCCACAAACAAATCAAAAATTTGACCTAGCCACCCAACCAAACATGGTCTTAGTTTTTGCACATTATATATAGAATCCATGCTTGTATTATAGCTGGTAAAGCATTACCAACCCAAAAAAATCAAACAACAACTTTTCAATAAAAATAACAAATTTTCATAAACTTTTAACAACTAAAAACTTATAATTTTTGTTATGCAATAAAAAGCTCTTCAATTCTGGGTTTTTTCCACCATAATTTTTTGTACATATCCATCATAATGGTTGAATAAATGAATACCCATAAATTAAATTCCAGAAATTCAAATATTCCAAGTAAAAATGCAATAAACATAGCTAAAAATGAAGTGGGATTTTCATACTATCAACTAACAATGTAAATGATATTATCTCTGATTAAAAGTTTCTGGGTACTAACCTGGAATTTGGGTGTATGATTAAAGGGAAATTTCAAAGCATAGGTACTTTTGTTTTCTCTTTACAATCAAAAATAAAAAATTTACAGTATTTGAATTTGATTTCTCAAAAAATAATATTAAAAAAAATAGAAAGCAGAGTGTTGATTCTCTCTCCTCCAGGCATAATGCTTCTACTGTTCATAGTTTCGTCCACCGGGAGAGACCAGGCGAGAGCAGCAGATTGCCCTACCACACGTGTGCACTACTGCACTCTGCTACATCCTTAGAATAATTGTTTCCAAGTTTGGCTCAACCCACCACGGTGCATGGTTCGTGTACAAATGTGATATGGTCACTTTAACACATTCTACTCGCGTTTAAAATTAGGCCAATTGACCAGATTGGTAAATAAAAAAGATTTCTAGCGACAATTTGGTAAAAAAACTTACTCCGGCGACAGTTTGGTAAAAAAAGCTAACAATGTGCGACAATTTGGTAAAAATAATAAACTCCGGTGACATTTTGACCAAAAAATCTATTTTTTTCCTGACAAATTCTTTAAAAATCCTATTAATTTGTTTTTGTGTTCTTAAATTTATTTTTTCCATTTAAAATATTGAATTTACATGTCATCCCTTTTTATTTCCAACCCCTTTTTTAAAAAAAAATCGTTAATAAGGGGTATGAAACTTAAGTGAATATTGATACTTAACGTTTTATTTTCTTCAAATTGTTATTTCCGTAAAAAAGGGTTGGTAAAATAACAAGAAAAACGACTATATTAAGAATTCGCGAGTAATTTATCGAAATTTTTTGTATTTTTTGGGTTAAGTGTCGCCTGAGATTATTTTATTTACCAAATTGTCGCTTAAGGTTAGTTTTTTTACCAATTTGTCGCCAGAGTAAGTTTTTTTACCAAATTGTCGTTAAGGGTCTTTTTTATTTACCAATCTGGTCAATTAACCTTTAAAATTATTTACAATGATTTAACATAAAGTGAGTAAAAAGTAATTTGAAATAGAGGTACGAGTAGCAGTATTAGTAATGTTACGGTTTACTTATTATATTGAGTTATTGACATATAAATTGTACTCCATCTACCACCCCCCCCCCCTTTTGTCCCATTGCTATTTTTTTTGTCAAACTTTGAAAACTTTGACCATAAATTACTGTTTATATATAAACTATAATATATCGTAAGGGTCTTGTTAAATTCGTTTCATTGTATATTTTACTAATATCACATTTTTATAATTTTTACGTGTACGAAAATAAATAAATAGACGTTTTAAAACATGTCTTGAAGACCGTGCATAGTCAAATGAAGTAAAAAAAAATAGTAATAGAGGGAGTAGTACTTTGTGCTGCTTATTATAATGCTTGTGTTATTATCCAAGCTCTAGTGGATTCCAGCCATGTTAATTTAATGCTAAAATATAATTCATGCATAATTTTGGGTTAAGATAGAATAATTACCCATTGTTTTATTGCATTACTTGTTGCAAATTTTGGTAGCTTGGTAAATTATCTAGTACTAGCTGTGTTAACTTTAATAATATTTATTAATCTATATATTTTTTTAATCTATATATCAAATGCATTGTTATTAACCTTACTCATAGAATCAGTCAATGATTTGATTTGTTAACCCACTTAACAGTGATATACTGTACATAAGAATCTGTTCTACCTTATCTAGTAAAATTCCCCTACCAATTACCAAACCCATGTAATATGGCCCATATGGAGTAGTGACAAACCTAGCACATTGGTGGACTAACTATCCAGCCAAAAATGTGATTTTATTTTTTCTAATTTTAGAGCAATTTTGGTTATCTAAACATTGATGGATAATTCATAGCAAGGTTAAATATAAATTTTTTGCTTGAATATTGAGATATGCATGAAATACATGCATTAACAAAAGGATTTGTGTTGTTGATATTTACATGGTCATTTTAAACATTTTTGTAATTAAATTTCGGCTTTTAGACTGTGATCATTACAACATTACATGCACGAAACTATTTTAACAAAATATATTTATTCCTGGTTTGGAGGGACCCATAAAAAGTAAATGATAAAAACAGAAACCAATCTTGAGTTTTGTATACAACTCCGAGTCCAACAATAATATCTTAAAATACACTTTGTTTACCGATACAGAAAAATGTAATTTAATGTTCAAAATGCTTTTGTTGCTTTGAAAATACATTATCACATGTTCAAGGTCTAACATATACTTGTATTGTATAATTGTAAAAGTATTCCCTAAAATGTCATTTTGTACTTCTACATCATACATTATTATTATTCATCGTAGTCAAGCCATACAGTTTCCATATTTTTCACAATAAATTAAATTACTCTAACACTAATTCTTGCCTCTCTTTAATTATGGGCTGTCCTTTATTTCTGCTGACCTCTTATAAAGCAATTGTTATATACTAAGTTATCTGATCTTGGATGATTTGATAAGTTCATATTTTTAGGGTTCTATGTTAAACTCACATATTAATTCTTCCATATTTGTTCTCATTGACTGAACTCAGTTGAACTGAACTGAACTGAATTGAGCTGAACTGAACTAAACTGAATTGAACAGAGCTGAACTGAACTGAAATGAATATTTTATAAGAGAAGGAAATTAGGAGCTGAGCTGAGCTGAACTGAACTGAACTGAACTGAACTGAACTAAGCTGAACTGAACTGAACTGAATTTTAACGTAAGAGAATAGACCCTAAGAGAAGATGGGCACTTATAATTATAAGTAGTTGTTGTCAATTATTAAGGATGGAATCTATAAATTTATAATCATTCGGGATTTTTTTTTTAAAAATTCTTTATCGATGGGTACAACCAGCTCAGATCGACTTATTTAATAATCGGTGAATATGACAACTTTACATAAAGATCTAAGATCATTATATCCTTAATGGGAACTCATCTTTTACTAAAAATAAACAAAACAAAATATATCTATCATCATCATAAGGTCAATTTATAGTATTTAATTATCTAAAAGTTGGGTTTTGAAAAGAAATTAAAAATGATTACCACAACCTACAATTTCATAGTCCATTTATGAGTATTATGACAAAAAATTATCCTTACAAATTAAATATAATATGAAGAAGATGCTCACTTTTATATACATCATAAAGCAACCAATATTAATCAAGTCTACGTGCACAAAATTTATCCTTACAAATTATATGTCAACTCCTTTTAATTTGGATTAATACTTTAGATTATCAATCTAAACATGTCAACCCTTTTATACCTCCTCTTCAAATTAGAAATTGGGACTAAAAAGTCATACCTTAATGTGCTTCTTATTTTTCCTTAATGAGATGGTTTAATTTATTATTGTTTTTTTAATAATATGCTTTCAAGTAAGATAAAGTGCATAAAATAAAGTCAAATCTCATTAGATTCCCTGTTTTCCACTGTCTAAAATTGGCCTGTGTATGTTGGTGCCAGAACACCTAGCTAATTCTATTAAATTAAATTGTGCATGGTCAAAAATGTGTTTAGATCCATGGAATATTATATGATCTTGGCATAATTGTGATTAAATAATGTATAATCAACCCATAATTACTCCACGTGTTGGTCGAATGCCACGGTTAACCTTGATTAGTGTAGCACTTCAAAGTTATGAATATGTCCCTTTGAATAATATATGATAGGTACAACTATTTGTAGAGCCATACATTTCACTAATTGTCTCGAAATTTCGACTAATATGATCATTAAGGGACCCAGGGGACCATAATTACATGGCTTAAATAAAATTTGATAAATGATAAAGTTTTTTAAGTTAATTAGTTTATAAATGGACAGATTCTAAAGAGAAAACGTGTTTAAGAGGATTGCATGTTTTGCTTATATTCGTAAAGACAAGAATCTAACATGTTTTGTGAAGCTAATATCGAGGGAGTTACTTTAATTTTCAGTGGATGGTGGGTTGTTTTTGTCATGCAATATAATTGTTAATCTTTAATTTGCTTAACTTTGATTTTAATTAGTAATTAGTTTAGTGGGGAGGTCATGGGAGGTGTAAAAGTCATATATTAATAATATTAATCAAACTACGATATGGAATATGATGTGTCCATGCTTGACTAACGTATACAGAGATCGATTATGTTTTTGAATACTCCTTTCCTTTCATTAAAATGGTTGTTTTTATTTTTTGAGGTTTAGGTTTGAATAATTTGCTCGAATATTGATATTCATTTAAATATCAAATTTTTATTACGTGGAGTCTTGTTTAAGTAATCTTTTTTTTTTTTGGGAAACATTGTTTAATTAATCTTGATAAGTATTAAGATTACAGTGGGTTTCTGGTGCGGCTGGCTGTCAAATCAGCAAATGACAAAGTAACCCTTGACCAAGTAACCTTTGACTGACCTAGTAACCCCTGACCTAGTAACTCCTAGTAACCCCAAGTAACCCCTAACCGACCTGGTAACCCCCGACCAAGTAACCCCTGACCGACCTGGTAACCCCTGACCGACCTGGTAACCCCCGACCTAGTATCCCCAAGTAACCCCTAACCGACCTAATAACCCCCGACCTAGTAATCCCTAACCGACCTAGTAACCGCCGACCTATTAACCCCAAGTAACCCCTGGTCGCCGACCTAGTAACCCCCGACCTAGTAACCCCAAGTAACCCCTGACCGCCGACCTAGTAACCCCTAACCGGATCACCTAGGAACCCCTAAACGAATCTAGTAACCCCTTACCCACCACCAACAAAAAAACTACAACCAACAACCACCACCAACGAACCACTACCAACCTAAACGCCTTGCCACTAGCCCCTAACCCACAAACAAACCCCGATTCAACCAAACCATTAAAAAAAAAATCAAATCAAACAAATATCTTAAAATGTTAACAATGGTTTCGAATATCACTTCAAATATGGCTAAAAAGGTCAAATTCGACCATGAAAATTCTAAATCTAGAGTTTTCATGGCTGAATTTGGCCTTAAAAACTTTGAACTTGTTTTCCGACGACGGAGTCACCAAACCACCACTACCCTCCCAGTGAAACCACTACTTCCGACGAATGAACCACCAACGAACGAACCATGAAGACGACTATGACGATTGCGAAATTTGTGTTACGTTCTCTGAGAAAATGAGATGAAGCTTCTAGCTTGAAGAAGAAGAAAAGAGGAGAGAGAAAGAGAATAGAGAGGAGAGAGAAAGAATTTTTAAAAAATAAAAAAATTGTGTGGCCAGCTACATATGAAACTTGTTAAATAATTTGTACTTATTTGTTTACTGTAGATCTTGTTAACTATATGTAGATCCGTCTTTATTATGTACATATAGTTATATGAGATCTTGTTAAATTCATACACTAAACATATAACTATATGTAGATCTTGTTTACTGTAGATCTACATATAGTTAACAAGAACGAACCATGAACAAAATTTTTTCCGATGAATATAACAAGATCTCATAGTAACAAAATTACTGTACTTTTTGTTTTGTAACATTGTTTAATTAATCTAGATAAGTAATGAGATTACTTATTTGTTTACTCTTACATGTAAGCTTCAAATAATGGAAACAATTATTTGTATAACCTATAATATTGCTAATGAGATTCGAAACAATTTAAATCATTATACGGTACCAAAATGTGTTTTCAACTTTTTTTCAGGAACACCCTAAGCCTTTAACACAAGATCAATTCTCATCTACACAACTGTTATTTAGGACTCTTTATACCACTTTATGTGACTAGTTTGCTACAGTAGTATATTTTGGAGGGAAGTCATCTCTAGTTTATTTTATGTCTCCCTTTATGTCTTGTACAGTAATGACCCATTCGGGAATTGATAATGGATACTAGAAATGATAAATAATTTGTAATGTAATTTGAATCTCATAATTTACATGGCACAAATGCACAATTTGTACGCCTTCAAAAAAATTGTATTGTTGTACTGTTACGAAATTAGAGATAATATTACTCCCTCCGACCCTCTATTTTTGCCCCATTGACACTTTTAGAGTCAAATTTAGGAAACTTTGATCATATAAAGGAGCGAATATAGTTATATGAGATCTTGTTAAATTCATCTCATTATTATAGACGTTCTAAAACACATCTTAAAAACTGTGGCTTTCAAATGGGGCAAAAAAATAGAAACAGAGAGAGTAAGTGTTTACAATGGCAATTTATTAATTACCGTTCCTCCATCTCACCGGGAACGCATGACAAAATAAGATCGTATGTTAATCACACTAACCTTGTAACTAACTCGTATAATATTATACTTATACTCCATATTATAACCTATCATCATTGGAAACATAATTCATTAGGAAAAAGACCAATTATAACATCCAATGTACGAGTGAACAAATTAAATAAAACAGTACGGGATTCAATGTGAGTCAAAACACTTAACTTCATACATTGTTTCACATGATAATATTCACCGCGACAGGACACCGTCTAACAGAATCTAATACTGTAACTAAGACCAAAATCCGGTAAAATCTATTTATTCGACATACACTAAACAAACAAGCACTAATAATCACAAAGTCCACAGATAAATTTGCCTCAAATAAGCTCAACCGAAAAGAGTAACCAAAACAATGTGAAATTGGCCACACCCTCCACCGGACAACTACCATAGTGCAGGAATGCACAGAATCTCAAAAGCTACTTTTCTACCTAGGGCTGGCCTCAGCAGATCCATCTCCATAAGAGACCAGGCCCTTTTTCCCTGGTGGACTGCCAGATGATGACCTAGACTGAGACCTATCCTTGCTAGCTCGTTTTGGAGGTGGGGAGCCCTTAGAGGACCCTGAGGCTGATGCACTCCTGCTTCGACTTCGACTAGAAGACAACTGCTTCTCAGCACGAGGAGATGCACGGTATCTGGGAGGATCACTTGGAGAGCGACTTCGAATGGGGCTTCGGTTATAACGACGACGGTAAGGTGGACTGCGTGACACGCTTGGACTTCTTGTCCTGCTTCTTCGTCTTCTATATCTGTGAAATAAGCATACAACAATTACCTCAAGAATTGCAGGTTCTTCGAAGTAGTACAAGATTTATGTAAACCCAAGAATTTATGATCATAATAATCAATCTAACCAATCGAGACTAACTATCACTAAGAACCTGAACTTCAGAGCATCATTTTAGAAAATTTCCACTTCAACCAAAAATGTTTGCAGGTTCTTCGTAGTAGTACAAGATTTATGTAAACCCAAGAATTTATGATCATAATAATCAATCTAACCAATTGAGACTAACTATCACTAAGAACCTGAACTTCAGAGCATCATTTTAGAAAATTTCCACTTCAAGTTAGTAAATATTCCAAGGTAACAGTAATACTCACTACATACCTTATGGGTGATCTTCTAGGGCTCCGGAAACGCCTCGGAGAACGGTCAGAATATCTTCTGTAACTGGGATACCTAAAATGTAAACAAGTATGGAATAATTATTACTTTGGAATTACAGTTACCCAAAGGCATCAATAGTTTATATAGTTATAGGAAGCAGTACCTGTCACGGCCACCAAACCGATAACGATCAGGAGAAGGGGTCCTGTATTTTCGAGCATAAGAGAATCTGTCACTAAAACCTCTACCTCTTCTAATACGTTTCGGTGACCCATCAGGGGAAGCACTTCTTGACATACTCCTATGGCGAATAGGTGGGCTTCGTCGGCCAGGACTTCTAGAGTAGCTACCACGATAACTCCGCCTCGGAGACCTAACAGGACTACGGCTAGCAACTCTTCTTGATGGAGCTCGCCCTGAGCTTCTACTTAAGCTTCTATGAGAAGATCTTACCGGACTCACACTTCTACGAGAACGAACAGGGCTTGGACTGCTTCTCCTGCCAACTCGTCCTGGGCTTCTGCCAATTGATTTCTGGGATGAGCCTCCTCGGTAGCTCCCACTGGGACTTCTTCGAGGTGGGGACGTGACAGGGCTTACACTGGCATTTCGTCGAGGACGGATTCGTGGTGGGCTTTGGCTCAGACTTCTAGCTGGGGATTTGCTGAGGCTTCTAGCTGGGCTTCTACTAAGGCTCCTAGCTGGACTCCTGCTGGCACTCCTCACTGGACTTCGGCTAACACTACGACTTTTCTGTACAGCTGGAGGGGGACTCTTGCTAACACTTGGACTTCTGCTCACACTCCTGCTCCTGCTCATACTCCTGGGGCTGATACTCATACTTTTACTCATAGCCTTTTTAGGACTTGCACTCCGGCTCCTGCTCATCAACTTTTAATAAAATACCAGCAAGAATTGGTAAGCATAAAGACAAGAGATGTAAGAAGAATTGATTGTAGACCTAGATTTTCCTGGGTGGTCCTCAACCACATCAGGCTGTCTATCTTCATTTCTGCCAGATCTTGCATCTCTGTCATAGCCATTGCTTCGTTGCTCTCCATTTTCTGTTTTTGATCTAAGTTCATCAAACTTATCAGATTCTTCGCTTCTTTTGTGATTATTGACTATGGCAGCATTCTCAACCACAGGAGGATGGTCCCCAGCTGCAAATACTAGTGTCAGACACAACAAAGTACACTTGACAAAAATAAATAAAAACAAGCCTCAATATAACAATTGCTGGTGATGGAAGTAATAAGTATTAAAAGAGCAAATGGTCACACAGTACAAACTTGCAGAATGTAAACAATCAATCAACAGCCAGTCAGCCAGCACTTTCTAGAATAACCATATCCAAATATGTGCATTGAACTAAAAATCGCAAAAGATGGAATCTTAATTATAGTTCAACGCAAGCAGAAAAATCAATAGAACAATTATAGCTTGACTTAAAGAAAGAGTGGTTAAGATACAAAAATACTCGAGGTACATCCTAAGAGAAAATTATGATACCATTTTTCTGCAAATCATCCTTGTGTTTCTGATTAAAGTCCTTTGCATTACCCTCATCCTCAGAGCTTTCCTCGGTGCTCTCACTGTCAGTGTCACTTAGACTGTCGGACGCCCTTCAACACAACATTAGAGAGTCAACAAGACTTAAACACTATATCAAAAGCATATTCTATAAATTCAAGTACGTTTGGATGAATAAAGATCAAACATCTCAAATCAATAGAATATTTTTGCAAAAAAATTCCACCCTACTTAAAATAACTCAAAGGAAGGGTGGAGTGCCAGGTGGTCATTCACCTGATGCATGGAAAACATGTGGCACAAAAACATTAAAAAAAATTCAAAAAAAAAACTTCAAATTGTCATCGTATGATCATAGCCACAAATAAATCTAATAAAGTACAAGGAATTTCTAATTTCTCACCAGAAATTTTTCTAAATAGTATCTTGCAAAATATTCAAGTAAATCAAAAGAGGATATGACCTCACGCAACATTGACCTCAATTACAATTAGCCATAAGAGATAGATTTTAACAATCTAGAATAAATCACCTTTTTGACTTGCGTTTTGAACGCTTGTCATGCCTTTTGCGCTTTTTATCACGTCGTCTATCTCTGCGCTTCCCACGTTTATATTTATCACGCTTAGAAGATTTCTTCCTCTTCTTTCGTCTGTCATCACTAGAGGAACTGACATCTGATGAGGATGCATCAGTTTCAGAATCTGTATCGGATTCCGTACTATCCAAATCACTATCAGAAGAACCATCTGATTCGGATGTATAGTATTTTCTTCTTTTCTTTCTTCTATCTCGCAGGGACTTCTTATGCTTCCCCTTTCTTCGTGTTTCATGACTATAAGCCTCCGAACCAGCCTCCTTTCCCAACTTCTTACCAAGTTTCTTCTTTTCTGCTTGTCACAGAGTAGAATTTGGCATGGAATAGATCAAGAAGATAACAATGGACAGAATTATAATCACAACTAACAAGTCAGGGGTTGTTTGGCATCGTTTTTGGTTTTCAGTTTCTGTTTTTTTGAAAACAAAAACCAAAGACAGGGAACAAGAAAAAGGTGTTTCCACTTTCTGTTTTCAGTTTTCAACATTATCATAATTTTAACAAGTTTGACTAATTATTTATTTATTATATGACATATCATATGATTTCGAAAACCCAAAAACCAAAAAACAGAAAACCACAGCAATGCCAAACAAACCCTTAATAAATCAGCTCGAGATATCCAAACTGGAATATTTAGATGCAAAAATTCAATAAACTTTCCACGTCACATACACATGATAGAATCAAGTAGTGCTTACCACTCTCACTCAATTCACCAGAGTTGCAAACTTTAACTGTGACAGCTGGACTTCCATCTTCATCACCTGCATCCTCAATTTTTTTCAAAACTTCATGACCATGCACAAGCTTCCCAAACACTATATTCTTTCTGCCAGAAAAAAAGGGAGCATTAAGGCATGCAATCTCTAGGCAGTTTACACAGATCATAGGTATCTATCTATATAAGGATAACAGATCCAGAATAATGTGCTCCCTTGTCAAATCGCAAGTCCCAAACATCAACATTCCATCATACATTATCATACATGTGAAGGTGAAAACTAACCTGTCCAAATTTTGATTAGCCTTGAACAAAAGACTAAATATAGAACCACGGACATCTCTGTCAGCAATAGACATTGATAATAGACCAGCTTCGTCATGCTTTAGCTTTGGTGACTCATCTGAAATTATGCAGAAGATCTACTCAAGACTCGAAAAACAAACCATGAAGCAATGACACTGGCAAAATTCTAGTACTCGGCCATATAAGATAAAAACGATGTACATAAATTAATACACATACATGTGTTCAATGCATGCATATACACACAGCCATTCTCCAAACTAAGCTAAGTAAGCCAAGAAGTTAAGACTCGGGATACATCAACCACAGCTGTTCTTTATTCATTCCTCAACATTTACTTTTGTCAAACTAAGATACATACAAATATGTTGTCGAGTGGGTTACAGACCTTACAATGCAACAGGAATGAGAGCCATAAAGTCACGGCGTTGCAGAGATTGCAGTATTTTAAAAAAGGGAAAATAAAATAACTACAATCGGACCTATAACCCAATAATATAAGGGTGTACAGGTTTATTCTTTCTTTCTTCTAGATATGATTACTTTCATAGGAAATCCATAAAGTCACAGTGTTGCGCAGATTGCACTACAGATCTTTAACGGGAAAACTAAATCACTGCATTCGGACCTATAAATATAACCCGATAATTTAAGGGTGAGCATATGATAATTATTCTCGATGTGATGACTTGGCAAGGTTTATCACACCAAGAATGAGTTTGGAGATTAACGCATGCATTTGAACATCTTGCATTACAAACCCTAACTTAACTAATTAATTAATATTTTTAAACTTGTCAGCCAGCTAATTGAGTGAGCCAACTCCATGGTCTCCATCTGATCCCATTTATATTATACCACTTAAGGTTTTTGTATTTCTACCTCAAGTTCAGCAAAAAAAAAAAAAAAAAAAAGAGGATATAATTAAGTACTTCAGTTGTCCCTAGATAAGAAACATTTAAATTTAGAGTTCAAAGCACACTATCTTTGATTGTTTTATCAGTTGGAAGTTACATTAAGTTATAATAAAATGATTGAACACATAACTCTAATGTGGCTATATTTTAAGGATAAGAGTAATGTGCAGTTATCAGAGCAAATCACTTCAAGGCTTAAGGTTGTTGCTACGCTAAAAGTCAAAACTTTACCTGGAAATCTGTCCCCATATATACTTTCCCCAGCTGAACCTGCAATATACAGATGAAAAAAGGAATGTCAAGCCTGAGAACAAGAAAAGGCATGCCATCAAAAATATAGACAAATAAGAAATAAACTTTTCATTCACAAACAAGAAATCAAGAGCCAAGAATGTTTATCCTAACTTTTATCCACTTATATAATACTCGGTCAATAATATCACATGCGACATGCCTAAAATACTGTCAAACTGGGGGCATTGACATTCAGGGGTCACAATACAGGTGTTAAAATTTATAAGCATTCAATAAAACTCCCTCCTTTTCATTTAAATTATACACTTAGCTTTTCATGGTTACCAAGAAATGCATTTAATATTGGAGAAATAAAAGTAAATGTGATATAAAAGGTATTATTTGTGAAAGTAATAAGTGGGCCCCTATTCTAAAAATAGTACATTACAACCGAGCAAATTACAAGGAGACCTTCAAAATAGGAAAGTGAGTAAATTATAAGAAATCAGAGGAAGTATAAAATAATACACATGGAAATTTCTCATGTATTCCTCATCTTTTTAAAACAGGAAAGGATCAACTTATATTACAACAAGGTGGAAGAGAACACCTAGGAAGATAGTAGTAAAATTTGCAATCATAAAGCGAAAAGGCACACATGAAAATTTCTCAATGTATCCCTTATCCTGCCATGAAATGAACTACATTTTTAAAAATATTTCAGCCTCAGTCAGCCATAAAAAAGAGCATTTTAGTTCAGAGTATAGTCATGATACAGAGAGATCAAGTATGGAAACAGCACATACCCTCTTTTCTGAGGAGATCTCCACCCTAAAGAATAGAAACAAACATCAATTAATCATCAGAAAATAAATTTTTTGTATATAATCAGGTACAAAGCAAATAACCTTTACTAAATCATGCTGGATAAAAAACATAGCAAATACAACCTTAAAACTACATCATTAGAAAATCAGGTGTGACCATCAGCCCTGTATCCTACAGCATAAACAACGATAACTCACCAATGAAACAGGAAGACCACTTCTAGCTCATGTTCAGGCAGAAAATCATATTAAAGAGAAGAATAAGAATACAATTAAGACTAAAGAGCAAAAATCAAACCCAAGATACCTGAGCCATAGAACCCTTCACTATCCGATGGAAAAAGGTCCCTTTGTAGTGCAAGGGCTTCCTCAACTTGGGGCCAACTCCCTTCTCACCTGAAAATTCAGAAAATTCTTTCATATTTAAAAGATTGAACGACTATATAATGTTAAATCTTAAATATGATAACACCAATAAAAAATACCATAATAATAGAGTTATTATCAAAACAGCAATTAAAAGATCCAAAGAAACAACACAAGCTATAAGAATTAGAGTACCATCACCACTAAAAGTCAACCCATGAACAGCAATGGAATGCAATATCTGTATTTCTTGTAAGTAACTGTAGATACAAATTTGTTCAACTCAAATATAGGCCTGAGTGGTGGATTTATAACATCACAAATTTCAATTTTCACAGAGGATATGCTATGAAAGAAAACCATGCAGACATTTGAAATATACAAAAGCACTCAATCTACTATCATAAAAACCGACCTCCCAATTACTAGTAAGAGCTCGGAAATTAAATGGCATAACAGTGGGGAGGCTCACCGCTTTATTAAGTTGTATAAACACGGAACAGACCAACAACCGCTAGTTGAATGACCTCCCATTTTCCAGCAATAACTATCAAATAAATGGCATAATGGAAAAGCTCACTGCTTTATATGGATGCATAAGCACAAAAAATAACCAAGACTAGTGAAACAACCAGCCACAATGCACCAAATTTTGAATTTAAAAAACAAAATGAAAAAACAAAACAAAAAAGAGGTTGCAGCCGTACCATTTTGTGTTCACATTCATGGAATATATAAAAAGAATAGTTCTGGAAAAACCAATATCAAAATTGCAATTTGAGAATCAACAAAGACAAGGAAGCAACAAGGAGGAAATAAAACACATAGTTATTACCTGTACATAACGCACGGAAATTTTCTGCGGTCTTTGGAGCTGCTTCAGTAAAGAGCTGTAGAAACAAAGCATTAAACATTAACATCTCTAGGTTTCAATAAAAGGTATAAAGAGAAAAAAAACATTGCGAAAATGCTTCTCAAGAGAATCAAAGGAAAAATGAAGTAGACAGACAATAGGGGCAAAGTCATCAAATAGATAACAGCCATAACACATTAACACCACCCCTGTCAGCACTCAATTATGTTAAATGGAAAATACTACCTCAAAAATCATCCTCTCATATGGATCTCCATCAATAGACACATCTAAAAAAACAAATGGGTTTTTCTTCTTGGCCATATCTCCCTCCTGGTGCCTAAAAGTCAAGCCAGTTTTCCTGTACTCTGTTACAAAAGAGATACAAACTCAAGAACTACAGAATGAATGAAAAAAAATTTGAGCAACCTGGCAGATTAAAGCATCTCCTAGACTAACAAAACAATAACCATATTGATAAAAGAATCCTAAAACAGTAAAATAATCATATTACTCTGAACACAAAGAAAGAGGACTATCAGCATATACACAAAATAATATTCAACACAGCCAAAAAAATGGCAAATATAAGGCCAGCTTTCACCAAATTGGATTCTTAGTTTTAATACTCTATTTGATAATTAAGAAGTTTCATTCCCAAAACTCATAGGAAAGCTTTATAGAGCAACAAAACAGGCGCACTGAGAATATAACAAAAGCCACAAAATTATAAACTATTGACAAATGAAGCAGAAAGGCAAAACATACGAATATTGACACAACTTAGATTTCTCTTGAACTCTCAATGTTACACTAAGCAGGACAAATGCTTAATGGAAAAAAAAAACACAACGATCTTTTACCTGACACCTAACGGCACTTGTGGAAACCGTTTGAAAACAATATTACAACATCACTTGAAATACTTACATGCACGCTACAAAGTCGTGCAATTTTACAATGAGAAAGCAAGTTACACTTGACAAATGCTTAATGGAAAACAACACAACAATTCTCTACCTAATAGCACTTAGGGAAATAGTTTGACAACAATTTTAATAGCATAACTTAAGATACGTGCATGCATGCTACAAAGTGATGTGATTTTACAATGAGAAAGCAACACCAAGCACCAACTACCAAACTAAAAATGTCAAATCGTCTTCCTCCACCTTCAATACTACACAATGTGTGCCCATACACTCGCAGTTTCCTTGTCTGTGAATGAAAAATTAGGCAGATTTTGCTCTAATGACACAGTCAAACACCAGAATGAGACTCAGATTTTGGCCGTCCAGTCCAGACTGTTACGAGTTTATCCGTTACACCACAAACACACCAAATTAAACCGAAAATATCAGAAAAATTCAATATCAGCTCATGAACCCAATAGACACCAACCAAGAACAAGATAATTCATACCCAACATCATACAAAAACCCATATACACATATTGAACAACATAAATTGAAAACATTTACACCTATGCTACAAAAAAAAAAAAAAAAAAAAAAAAAAAAAAATTATAATAATAAAAACAAGACAACCAAAAACATACCCATAATTCATCAAAAATTTATGAACCCTAAACCTTAAACCCCCAATACAATTCCCCAATCGCAGAAATCGGAACAATTCCAAATCAGCTAAAATTAGGCATTAATTAGCATAAAAAATTACAGCAAACCTATAAAATGGTGACAGCGGAACAATTGGGAGTTAGAATATAGCAGAAATCATAAATCAACTAGACGAATGAGAAATTTTAGAAAAACGAATAATAGCAAATTACAAATCGATCAAAGGAACAAAGATAGATGAAGAGAAAATTAGGGTTTTACCTAGAGACGGAACACGCGGTTCAACAATGGCAGCTGCTGCTCCACCGTAATGAGAGAGAGAGAGTGCGTGAGTGATGGAGAGAGTGTGTGTATGCGTGCAATAAGAATAACCTAGTGTCCACCTTAATTATTTTTGGCAATTTGGCTTATTATTTTGGAGAGTCTAGTAGACTCCGACTAATTCGGATTCGAGTCACGTTAAATATTGATTGGATGGATGACTTTTCGTACCTTATAAAAAGTAGAAGATTATTCTTATCAATGTTTGTTTAACTTCTTAGCTCTATGTGTAATTTTGTAATTTTTCTTAAGACCCATCAATTAATTAGAAATTAAATAAAAAATGAAAAAATAAATTTTAAAATTTCTATTTAATGGGGGTTATGGTTTAATTACATGACAACATTAGTCACTAGACAACACACGCTTTGACTACCCTAGTTTCAATAAGTGTTGTTATATTTCAAACTCTCACTCCAAAACCTTGTTTAGCTACATAGTAGAATAATTAATTTAAGCGATTAAGTAAAGTTTGATCGGTATCATTATTTAATACAAGTAGTTTATTATTCGGCTTTAACTTGAAATATTATTTATTAGATATAAATAATTATGTGGTTTTTCTAACGGGGAGTACATGACTTTTAGAATCATGAAACCAAAATTAAATAACTAAATTGATAATGAATGGTTTTGTGGCCTAGTGACAATATTCATATTAAACTAGTGAGTGAACCCGGGTGTTGCCCCGGGTTCCTACTATTATAGATGTACAATCGACAATTTTTGCAAAAGGCTTTTCACTACTGCAATTGTCATTGTTAAACCAAGATTGAGTTATTCTTTAAATATAGTTTTTAATTTTTTTAATTAAACCTTGTTGCACTTATATGATTTTTTTTCCATAGAAATAATATAGTTGATATTGGCTTAGATGGTTAAATAGTCATACGTAGTATATGTTATAAGAGGTTAAGGATTCGAATGATGTGGCGCGACAAAATAGGGACTACGTGTATAGATAAATATAAACAAAACAAAGAAAAAAAAGGAGCTTAACATATACTCCCTCCGTTTTTTTTTAAATGCATCACTTTGATTTTTGCACTATTCACATACCATAGTTGACTTAATTTTTTCACCTTTTATAGAATAAATAATTGTTATTATATAATATATCATTAGATTTATCATAATGTCTAGTTTCATAATATAATTTTTAATAATTAACATGTAAAGATATTAATGGTCAAACTGATACAAATAAAAGAAAACAGAGAGAGTACATGAATTAATCTTTTATTTATATTTAGTGGTTTCAGTGTTCATATACATGAATTGCTTGTTTGATATTCTCAAATATTAACATGGACTTTCTTAAAGTAGGGCTCCTTGACTTCGTTTAATTTGCAATGCTATTCTTGCTTTGATCCTATTGTCCAGAATGTCCACTTAATATCACTGGTTGATGAGGACCAAGCACACATGAGCTATGTTGTTTGCTAACAAATGCTGATTGTTATAGAATTTAATGTGCAATACCTACCTTCCTCCCTCCTTTGGAAGCTTACATAGATGGTTTAACGGTTGCCACTTCAACAACGAACTTAACAATGCGTTGGTTAAACTATATTTTGGTTGCCATGTGTATTCTTTTGACAATCTATTACCTTCAGCATTAAGTTCTCGAGATGCTAAACGCAAGCATGTACAATGGGGCAAGGAGAGTGATCAATATACTCTGTGGATAGTGAAAGCGCGTTGAATACTCGAATCCATTGATATTTTGCATAACCCCAAGAGGCCAAGACTGCAAGACATGTTACCCTTAGAAACTTTTGGCATCATGACACCCTTACACAATGGGGTTAGAATAAAATTAAAATTCGTCCTCTTTTTATTTTAAAGGGGTTTTGTGGCTACTGAGGGGTTTTGTGGCTACTGAGTTCTACTTGACTTATTCCCCAGGAAAAGAATTCTCTATGCTTTTTGTGCAGGAAAAAAGACGCAAAGATGTTCCTTCATTAAGCAAGAAATGGGGCCCGATGATAAAATGCACCCCAAATTTCATTTTCTGATAGCAAAATATTGGTACCAAATTTTCCTTTCATGAAGATCTTTCTGGCAATCTTGCCTACATACCGATAACAACCAGATAATGTGCTAGTAGCTCTAACATACAGACAGATACAATTCTGTGAAAAAGAAACCTTTCTATTTCACCAAACATATCCTATGGTTTAAAGGACGATCATTCTCATGTCAAAAATTAGTGCACCAACTATGTTGATACTCAAGGTGCAAATCTCAGCTCAACAGCTATAATTCATAAAGCCAAGCAGCAAGCGCTCTCATTTGAAGATAAAGAGGCCCTTCTCGGATGATGCCATCTTCTTTGCTGCAGCACTTCCAACAATTCTCTCCAGCTAAACAAGAAATCACATAAAGTCGATCAGATTATGAATAGGCAGCAGAGTGAGAATCAAACACAAGAATGACAGAGAACAGCCCCGCAAAAGCACAGCTCATAACTACTGATTAGCCCTAGTGACACCCAGTGACCAGGATTTTGCCAAAAATATACAGGGTTTGACTAGTTAGATATTAATGGAAAATTAGTTTTTTACAGTACATGAAGAATCAGATTTGCTCTAGTGAGTTCAGTCTTCAGACTTCGTGACAATATTGTTTGATTAAGATTGTGAAAATATAGCTGATTAAGATTTTCTAATTTTCCTGTGAAGAGAAACTTAATATTGCTTCAGGTTATTGAAAAAAAACAAAAAGTACTGGTAAAATATTATTGGTTAAGATCTTGGACACTTCCAAAATGATATTCATTGTATACTTGATTGGGAACTCATATGTCAAATCCAATAAGTAATATTACTTGTTTTTACTTGTTTTCCGATAAGCAATATGGCATTCTACAAACTGGTATAAGTAAATCCTCTGCATAATTTGAATACAAAGAGGTGGCAAGAATGCAAGATGCTTACCCGTAGCTGATCAAAACGCGAAAAAAGTACTGTACAAGTCATGTTATGGGATCCTTCTTCAAGCATATTGAGAACCTGAAAATAATACCGGATGAATACCATGGACTCAGGGAGGTTTCTATTTTGTATTCGGAGTCAGGGTTATAGAGCAAAACATACAAAACTGTTTTTCAAAAAATTAACCCCTAAAATCAATAGGAAACTTCCAATCTATTGAAGATACACTTACCTCAGGGTAAAACTCTTTCCTCTCTGGAAGAGAATAGATAATTAGATTCTGGATGCCCCGGATCTACAAATCAAAGGTTCAGCAGATATATCAGTATGGGGAAAGTAAGGAAACTATTGTTAGAGTAACATATTTTGATCCCACATTGAAAAGTATGAGTATGCTAAGATACTTCATCCCTCTTAGTATATTGTTTTCTTATGCTAAGTTCAGCATGTGATAGTGATCTTCCTAATAGTGTTTTCTAATAAATCTAGTATTGCACACTCAATCCCTAAACAAACAGAATTTACCTTGTAACGATGGTAAAAGTGGGCTCTCTCAGTGTAGAGCATGATCTTTCGCTGTCCCTTAATGAACCAATTTCTTGCACGAGATATATCACTTTGTTTTGTATACCTAACCACCACCATAAAATATTGTTAATAAAACTCTCAATGCATCTCTAGATCATGATTCATGTTGCAAAGACTCAATATCCAAAGACAGTCAATTGTTACAGGCAACTATATATTTATTAAGAACTTACTCGCCCAACAGGCAGAAAGATGCATTTTGTGTCTTCAAGAAATTCCGGATGCGAACAAATTCAAAGTAAGAGCTTATAAATAGCATAATTCCACCCTGTAAAATATTTTTGACGAAAGAATTAAGGTAAATTGACTAGTCACTCATGCAATGACATGTACAGAAGTTAACAAATTATGCACTTGATCAACATAATGAAAAAAAATAGAATAAGAATCTAGATACATGTTGATCAAGTGCATAATTTGTTAACTTCTGTACATGTCATTGCATAATGAAAAAAAAAAAATAGAATAAGAATCTAGATACAAAACAAGAGTCAATATACCTGAATGGAATTTTTTATCTTCGGAAATATCTGCAAGAATAAGATGAAACTCGAATTAAACTTGAATAGTACAATAAGAAAATGAAAAAGACAGAACTACTTCCTGCCATGTAAAATTAATATAGATACTTAAAATTTTTACCAGCATCCTCCATAAATTTACTTAAATGCTAGATGCCATAATACATCAAATATCAGGGCCAACTACACAAACAGCTTATGCGGGGGAAAAAAAAAAACCAGAGTAAGTATTTCGCAAAAAAAAAAAAAGGGTGAAGTCTTGACGAGCCTGAGTTGGAATACGAGTTGCTTGCTGAAGATTGATGTTCTTTGTTTATTTACATGTTTGTCAAAACTTTAAAGTGCCTTTGAATATGTAGTAATCACTTATGTATGGATTTAAAATTCTGAATTTTTAGATTTTTTTTTTGCCGTACCAGGTTTTTACATTTTTAAATTTTCCGTGTTCTCGTCCCGCCCTGTATCATAGTACTCTGGACCACCTCCACCCAAGCCCAAGCCTCTACCCTCACTATCTATGCCCTCATTTTTGTCAACTATTTTCACATCAACTGTGGTGTACTATTCACTCAGTATCACAATTCACCAATACCTGGTGCATGCAACAATAAGAATATCCTCGCATCCTGTTAAGCATAGTGCTTCTACTTCCAACAAATAAGTATTATCTCATAAGCTAAACTCACCAATAAACCCCCTTTCCTGATTTATATAACAGTACAATAACACCCATCACATGAAGGTATTAGTTAATAACTGAGCCATGCTCGGTTTTCATAATTAAACTAAGATCTGAATCCAATGCAGGGTCAATTGATTAACAACCAATAAGATCCTTGTTTACATCTGTGATGCAATCATTAATTAAAATCATTGATATGTTTAAGAGGGAAACCTGCTGTAGTGGCTTCCACTTTAATATAATATTGACAACACATCATTATTTTTCATATGATCTTTTTTTCTCACTTGATAGAGCTAAAAATAATGCATCGCAAATGTTCAAACCTTATTGATAAAGTAATTTAAACGAGCATCGTCAGCTTCCACTATGGAATCAGTATCAAAGCGCTCATAAACCTACAAAACAAAAAAATAAAAAAAAATTGTGATGATGGTAGATGCTTAAAAAATATCAGTGAGTTATGTAATACTAAAGGAATGGTCATGACCTGCAAAACAATCTGACAATCCTAATGCATGAAGGCATGATATTTACATTAAGTAAGGATAAATTCATATATGAGTGTGATGACGGTTAAGCCCACATCACAGCATCCCAAGCAAAAGGTAGTAAACAATGACTTCGTGTTGGTTAAATTGAAATAAAGATATCTCCCTTAGACATGCAACAAAATCAGGCTCAGGGAGTTTAAGAAAAAATTATGATCATGTACACAGTGGGAGCAACCTGAAACAAGGTGAATTGCAACAACTTGTAAGAGAGGGTCAACTATAATACTGGGAAGAGTAGACCTGGCAAACAGGTCATTCAGGTAGGATTCAGGTCGGGTCAAGTTCGGGTCAACAAATGTTTGGGTCGGGTTCGGGTCGAGTCGGGTTGATTCGGCTTTCAGGTCAAAATCGGGTCAGCACTTCAGGTTAAGTTCGAGTCGGGTCAAGTTCGGATTAGGTCAAGTTCGGGTCAGGACTGTTCGGGTCGGGTCAATTTTTAAGATCAATGTTCGGGTCAATTTTGGGTCGGGTCAAATTCGGATCGAGTCAATTTGGGTCGGGTCTATTCGGGTCGGGTTTGTGTCAGCTCATTAAGATAAATTTACTTAAAAAAAATAGTTGAAAAAATAAAGTAAAATCATTAAAAAAAATAATAAAAAAAATCATGAGTACCTATTACGTAGGAAATAAAGAAGCCCCAAACTAAGTAATTCACTATTTCACCCTATTCTCTTAGGATTCGAGTCAATTCGGGTTGGGTCACTACGAGTCGGGTCGATTAGGGTCAATCAATTTGGGTTAAAATCGGGTCGGGTCACTTCGGGTTTCGGGTCATTTCAAGTCGTGTCAAGTTCGGGTTTTGGGTCAATTTCGGGTCAGCTCATTCAGGTCGGGTCAATTCAGGTCATCTGGTTGGTCATGTTCGGGTCAACTCTATTTCGGGTCGGGTTCGGGTTAGTTCGGGTTTGGGTCATTTTCAGGTCAATGATTTCGGGTCAACTTTCGGGTTACGGGTCAGGTCATTCGGGTTGAGTCAATCAGGTCGGGTCAGGATTGCATGGCAGGGAAGAGCACATAAATCAGTTTTTGGCGACTTTCACTTTCAACCCGATTCACCGCCTACGTGCCCTTTACGCTCTCGTAGACTTTTTCCTCCCCAGAGGTTTTAGCCTAAAATTGGAATGATGTAACGCTAGGTGCTTCACCAAGAAAATTGGAATTCTCCCCGGAACTAGAAGATCATTTTGAGATCTTCGGTGTAAAAATGGCACAATTACAAGGAAGAGAATTACAAAAAGAAGGATCAATAGGAAAAAGAAATATAAATATATGAAGTGGGAAACCATAGTTAAAAATAAGAGAATTACAAGAAAGCATTCCAATCACAGATAGACATCCTAAAGAAAAAATATTGGTAAGCACTGGAATACTGGATGATACAGGACCATAAAGAGATCGCAAACATCATGAGATTCCAAATAACCTCTACCACATAAAATGGATTATACGGTCCTCCAATCATTTCTGAAGATTAATTCTCTTCGGTCATCTCAAAACCAACCCATTTCACCTGGATAAGGACAATTCAAGAAGCAAGGCACAGCCAAAGCTCCCCCTTTAACCCAAAAAGCCAATCCATAAAGCACCACATGTCAATGAAGAACCATAGGTTCAATTCAAAATGCACACACATACAAGGTACCTAAGAAAACCAAACTATAGACAATTATTTAATGTATCTAAAATAGCTTCATATTCGCATAATTCAATAAACCCTATCTTAATTTAAGAGAGGGAAAAAAAAAAAGAAAAAAAAACACCCACTTATTAAGAAAATATATCCCATTTTCATTACTCAAAGCCTCAAACTTTGATAGAAACACAAGATAAACCCTTTGGAGTCCTCATATAAGAGTGCAAATGGTACATATGACATAGCCATAAGGTCTTTGGTAGCCATAAGGTCTTTGGTAAGAGTCTAACACTGACACAACTTAGACATGTGTGGAAATGACTGAGACACGTTACATTCATTATCCTCTAATATCACTTAATCCTTCAATACCAAATTTTATCTAGAATTTTCTGTTTCAATACAAATCAATCAATTAATTAATCAAAGCCTTAATCCCATAAGTGGAATGGGGTCGGCTACATGAACCGATTATTTAAAAAGCATCAGGTTATAGATTATTTTAAACAGTCCATGCAATTTTTATAAATACAAAACTAATCTGTCTTTAATTAAATAGTACCATGTTCTTAACAAGTGAAAAAGTGATTACAATGTCTTATAATCTGATACAGAGGGCATGGACGCATGGTTGACAAGTTTTTCTTGATTGAATTAATATTTTATCATCGTATAAGAAATTCAAAAAACTTATCCCATCATTCAATAATAAGCATTCTTGGATGTAATATTGGCACGTCCAAGAAGTGGCTTTAGACAAAATTTTGAATCCATATTGAACAGAGCCAGGACAGAGCCTGGAGCCTTTAAGTTAGAGAAACACACCTGACTCACTTGCAGGATAACTTTCGGCAACACACCTTTGTGTTCACAAGACAACCTTAGCTGGAGAAGGAAGGATCACATTAGATCAGGTGTCTATGAAAAATATGCACCCTTTAGATTAGATTTAGATAAAGATTTATATAACATGATGGAAATTAAGATGCTAAGCTAAGGTTACAAGAAAAATGACTCTACCTTTCCCTCAAAGTTAAGGCAATGACGATTGAACAAAGCATTTATGTCTGCAATATATCATATAAATAGAAATTACCATCACAGAAATTGATAGGTATTCAGACATCACAATATCACATACATAAAAGACAATCAAATGTGTATATGCTTAATATAATAAGAAAAAGTATTAATAAATACAATAAATATACACGTAGTAAAAAAAAAATTTAAACCCTACAACCTACTCCGTAGAAGATTACTAAGCCAACACAACAATAGGCTACACTCAAAACAACTTGGTGAGTGATGACCCTTGAAAGGCTGGGCTCAATTATCAGCTTTTCATATGGCGACGTCCTTCATAGAATCTATGATGGATGAGTTAGGATCCTAATGAGGGGGAAAATTAAGCAATTTGTACCCATGAAATTGGATAAAGGTTCCGTTACCTAAGGGCCATTCTATAGATATTTATCATCATCCCCATCTGGAACCCAAAACCCTGTCTCTTAAGAGTCTTAACAACTGACCCCTAGGCCTAAAAACCGCCACCCTTCCCAAGCCCTAGTTCCCTACAACTTTAAGTCCCAAACCGCCTAACCAAACCAAGGTCCTCTCCACCTCAACCTATCATACAACTGTGGCCCCCACCTCACTCCAAAAAGCTACCAACAAGATCAAATAAGTGCTCAAAAGGTCATAAATATCTGATTAACATAGCACATAAAATACCAGAGTAGAATTAGAGAGATGAAGAAACACCATTACCTGGATTCAAATAAGAACTTAATATAATTGTTTGTCGATAAAACTGTGCATGTGCATCCAGGTACCTAAATATGGGAGGAAACCCAATTGCAAAATTAAATATTTGCACAATAGGTAAAGACTCTTGCTCATTAAAGATCCTCAAGTGCAGATATAATAGTATAATACTATAAAACTTGACATCTACTAAACAACTCTGACTATGAGCTTATAAAATTACCATCTATTAAGGTATAAGAAAGATATGATGATAAATTAATAACAGTATAAAACAATAATTGCTAGGTTACCATTGTCTGATACGCATGATATCACCACCATGTTGTTTAGAAGGCAGGAGATTCAGATGTTCAACAACTGTATTTACATGGGACCAGTTCTGCATATATGTATGACAAAATGAGAGAGAGAGAGAGATGAAAGTGTTGTCATGTTACCAAACAAAGGCAATATACCTGCATAGATATTACATCAGCATGATCTACGACTAGAATCTGCCCATGAAGACAAACACCAAATATTATTTTTGGCAACCACCGGATAACTATTAGAAGAATGAATCAAAGTACTGAGAATTTATTTGAAAAATAACCTCTATTGAAGAAAGATAGTCAACATCTTTTTCTTTATTTGCCTCAGCTTCCCCAATTTTCTGACAAACAAAAATTGCAGTCCTTCACTCATACATTATAATAAGATAAAACATGATTAAAACCCTTCATGCTGGAGTGTTAGACAACCCAAATATAAACTTGAACTAAAACTGCATGAGATGAATATGCTTACAGTAATCAATCCAAGAGGTGAGGCAACAATCATGTCCGAAGAATAGAAGTCACTGTACAACCTTATACTTTTTCTGGCAAAGAAAGAAAACTTGCTAAGCTTAGAAAACTAAAATCAACCTTGGGACACGAGCAAAAAATATGAAGATATGTAGCGTGTTCTGCTTAACAACCTCTAAATGAAGACCATAAATTTCTTTATCACAGTAAAATGATGGCTATTGTTCATCATATATCAACAGCAATCTGAAATTAATTGGTTCAACCAACCAAAGTATAAACAATTTGAACCAACATTACATCTAAACATATTCATGGTTTTAGTTACAGCAAAAACTTCCTTAAAATGCTACAAGTGATTCTTAATTGGGAAAAGACGATTTGGCCTGGTTGAAAAGCATAGAATGAAAAAAAAAAAAAAGGCAGGTTCTAACGGAATTTCAAAATTCAAGTGACTGGTTCCAAGCCCAAGTAATATATCAATAAAATAAAATAAAATAAAATAAAATAACAAATGAAGTTAAAAAATAGGAAATTTGTCAAAAAAAAAACCTTTTAAAAGCACCATTTTGCGAATAAACCTTTTAAAAGCTTTTTGGTTAAAAAAAACCACCACCTTTATTTTTATTTTTTTTGCGAGAGGAAACCCATTTCCTTAATTATCCTTTAATTAACTTAATTAGACTCTAATTTCCTCCCATTTCTTCTAATTAATCTCTAACCCACCCAATTACTTAATAATTAGATTTAATTCATACATAAAAATAAAAAAAATAAAAAAAATAACCACCACCCCAACCACCAACCAATCACCCCTTTCCCTTCTTCCTCCCTTCCCTCCTACCTTGAAAGCAACCCCCTCAACTGGACCCGTGGTCCAGATCCCCGGCAACCTACCCCAACTACCTCCACTGCCAATTGACCCTCCCTTTCCCCCTTGTCCGACCACCAACCCCCCTTAAAAATTTTGGCCCTTATTTACTCAAACATGCTCAAATTAAGTCCAAATCAATTGCACTTTGCTTCTAAATCACCCTAGCATCACATACATACATAAACAAAGCCAAAACAAGCATCAATTGCAAGCAAGATGCACAAAATTAAAAAACCCCTTCTAGGGTTTTCCAAAATTAAGGAGATGGTTGTCGGGCGGTTATTAGGGGGAAAGGGAAGGTCGTCTGGCAGTAGAGGAGGTCGCCGGAGGTGGAGGGATCCAGATAGCGGGTTCGTTGGGAGGGAGGGTTGATGCCATGGGAGGAGTAAGGGGAGAGGGAAAGGGAAAGGGAGGAGGAAAGGGGAGATGGTGGTGGTTTTTTATCTATATTAATTAAATCTAATTATTTAGTAATTTGGTGGGTTAGAGGTTAGTTAGAAGAAATGAGAAGAAATTAGAGTCTAATTAAGTTAATTAGAGGGTAACTAGGGAAATAGGTTTCCTCTCGCAAAAAAAAATGAACGTGGTTGTTTTTCTTAACCAAAAAGGTTTTTTTTCGCAAAATAGTGCTTTTAAAAGGGTTTTTTTTTTGGACAAATACACTCTTATAAACACCTACCAGCATTACAAGTCACTTCAAAAAGAAAAAACAATTAAGTGATCATTAAAAACAAAACACTAGCATATCTTTAGATAATTGAAATGTAGTTCTTATTTAACGTGTTCAGCATTTAAAAGAGTGGAATTTTGTTTCCGTTACTTGTCTTTGTAGATACACTTGTTATCATTGTGGTATTCACCAGCAAGATTGTTATATTTATATTGTTTCGTGACACTGCAACTCCCCTTCCACCCAGACTCCTGATATCGACTTGATTATCAGATTCTTAATTATAAGTTCATAACCCTGCCCATTCCATTTTGGGCAAAAGAGATCTACATGTCCATACATTCATTCAAGTTAGTAAGAGAGGCTGTGATATATTCTTCTATTGACGTCATCCAGAAGAGAAAACTAACAAAAATAATTTGAAGTTAGAGCCTGCAGAGAACTATAGGACCAAAAATGATATGAAAGTTAGAGCAATACCTGATACTAATAATCTTTTTGTATCATAACTACCATAATTATTTTTTTCTAAACCCTATATTTAAGTAGAACGAAATGCCTTTAACCATCCATATGGTAATTTAACATAAACCTTTCAAGCTATAATCCACTAAAACTCAAGGGTTTACACCAAATCATATTATGGTGCGAAAAAATGGGTAATTTGTTTTTATGAAAGCATTTGGGGGTGTTTTAGCTATTTAAGGCTGTAAATCAACCACAAAATAAGTCTAGAGATGATCACTAACTTGAAAGTACCATATATAGTCAGTGCAAAACAGGAAATCAATATTACTTCACAAAGCAACTAATATATTAACTAAGGAAACAGCACTAGCCCAAGCTCTCTAGGATGTAACATCTAGAGCACTTAGAATCAATAAAAAGGCAGCAGGACATGTTCAAAAGTCAAAACATAAATAAATAAATACATAATTAAAATAATTTTTAAAAAAATTACACCTAAAAAGCACCTATATTTTAGAGAATTGTTTTATCATTCTGTGCACCCTCTGCACATGTTTTGGTTACTTTTGCAGCCTTATAGATTCTAAAATTGAACTTGGAGAATGGAGATTCTACCATAGAATTAAGACAATCAAAGAGATAATAACAAGATCAAAATACCTAGTAAACTTTATCCCAACCATAAAATGGTCATTATTATTAGCACCAAAAAGTGACTGATAGTCAGAAGGTTTTGAAGGCTTCTTGAGCTTTGAATCCTTAGCCTCAATATCATCATCATCTTCTTCATCAGCTCCAAAGTCCTTGTTGAACCGATCCATATACTCCACATTGACCTAACAATGGAAAGAAAATCTCTCAGAGATCATTATAGTTAACTTCTGTGTTTTTTACAAACACATAGCATAGCCAACTAGAAAAATCAAATTCTAGACCCTAGCCTAGAGTTAGCAATTTAGCATAGCCAACTAATACTTCCTCCATTCTCTAACAATTAATTAATCAAAACAATATTTATTTTGCTCTATTCATGATATTTTCTTACTAAGATACAAAACACTATAAATGTTAATATGTAAATATCGTTGGGTTGGTCTCTATGCATATTTACAAAATATCAACTTTCATAATTTTTACTTAAAAGAACTTTAAATACTTCCTATACTGAACCATAAGGGGAGGCATAGAAATTATGAAAGTGGGTAAAAGGAAAGCAGGTCAATAAAGGTGGGCACGGGTTGTGCCATGTAGGCCCATGTACCATATCACCGTGCCTTGTGCTCAAGTCGTTCGTGCCTAGAACGGGCCAAGAATTAGTAATGTCATACCGGGCTCATGCTGGTCCTCCATAAAGCCCATGCACGACCTAACCAATGTGTCGGGTCATCCCACTGGGCTCCCTTAATAAATGTTATATTTTTGGTAAAGTAGTTAGAAGAAAAGCAGGCCGGCACATGGGACAGGTTCATGCTAAATATTGAAAATAATTTACATGCATAGCTCATGGCCCACTTGCGTACCTCTCGTGTCATTACTGTCTAACAAACTTTTCTAGTTCCATATTATTCATTTAATCATCATATAAAATATTGAAGGATACAAACAGGATTTTGTATCAAATCTCTGGAATATCAGACAAGTCTCTTTGATTTTTCCCTTAAGTACTTTGAAATTTAAAGGTCTTTGAAAAGCTAAGGATGATGATGATGTTGCTAAATGATAAAATTTATACGAAGTTAACGAGACAGCTTCTCATAACTAGCCCATTTGCTACTGTAAAAATTTGTGTGAAATTCTGTGACCATTCTATTCGATTAGTTGCAAAAGAAACATGTGCTTATTTAATAGTGAAGCTTCCAAGAAGAAGATGGTGACCTTGAAAAACTTCTTGTTAGTTGGTTATTTGATCAACTGCTTGGTAAGGAAATCCAATTATTATGAGGGTACAAACTCTTGAAATAACATCTCGGAGCAACTCGAAATCAGTGAGCATCTGCTATTCTAGGTTTTGTCACATCTTGAGCAGTGCCTATTCTGCAGCTTATCCTCCCTTCACACCCCCAGCAGATAATTGACTATACCTCTAACAATTGCATTACATGTGTATGAACATATATATTAGTGTACTACTTTTGTGCCCATATTATAGTAACATAAGATCAGCAAAACCTCAGCCCAATTTAACATACGAGTATACTAAAGTAAAATCTGAAACCTTATGTGCTGAAGGCGTCAATTGTATAAGTCTCCTCACGAAACGAAGAGCAATGCTTGCTAGAGGCAGCAGTATCAGCACCTAAAATAAGCAGATTAAGAATAGCAGAAGTCAGGAAAAAAAAAATGATATATAATTACTAATAAAGAAAAAGAAAATTTGAAAAAGAAACATGATGATCCCACAGTTTAAGAGATCAAGAATAAAATTTTAAAGCAAAGATTGCATAAGAGAAATTTCAGTTGTCAAGAGTTCAGCTAAAGGCTGTTAGTACTATTAATACTGAAAGCTTCTAGATTATGTTGATGTACCAAGAAGCTCCTTCTTGCCTATTTCGGCTACAGAACACATCTAAAACACAGATAAATATAAATCATAGATTGCAGGTACATAGTCAATTTTCCATCTGCTACAAATGAAACTAAGAAGCTTAATAGTTCCAGACATAATCTTCAAGATATAGAGCTGTGGTCAATCTTGTTCTTTTTCTTAACATTTTTTTTTTTTTTTTGCCTCATTCTGCATATATTCAAATAAACATATACACATTCTAAAAAATCATAATAATTGTCACTTCAGACATAAAAGGAAGGCTCATATAAGACCAAGTCAAAGAAGATTAAAAGAAGTTATTTTAATTATAAAAAAATAGATTAAAAAAAAATAAAAAACACTCCAATACAGGCAACTAAAAAAAAGCAATCACAATAGTTCCCATGCAAATAGGAAACTGATCTAGGTCAGTAAACTCAGATTTACACCTACAGTAAACTTTGCTCAACATCACGGTCAGTAGTTCTTCATTCAATAGTGAATTATTGATAAATTGGCTGAATATAGAAAGTAAAGGTTAAGAATGCAAATACTTACTTTTGGCCGAGTGAAGCCTTGATCAAGGAAACTATCACTAGTTATTACTTCCTCTCTAGCAGTTTCCTGATTCTTGGATAATTTCGCATCATTTTTAGAGATAATATCCTTTGTTTTGAAAACATGATTAAGCTGAACAGAAAAGGGCACAAGCAGAAACACAATGTCACAGAATTTTGTGTCAAAAATATTCTTATAAAAACAAGAATGATATTCATAGTCAATAAATGAAGACTTGAGAGGATCACTTACCGAATGCATGATATATGCATCCATGGTACTTGAGTCTTCATCTAATCCCTTTTGATAGAAGGGTTTCTTGTGATGGTGGAGTATATCTCTATAGCTATTGCCTAGAAAACAAGCACATTATGCAGCAAGTAAATAACTATGTAAGGTAACATACTACCATTCTGATAAACTAGTAGGAAGAAACTTAAGCTATAAGCATTCCAAACATCTTTTTTTATCATTTACAGGAATAAATAATAGAGAGAGTCAAGAATATTTCAAAGCAACAATGGAAAATTGGAGAAAAATGATGAAAATATATCTTCAAGGGATGAATTTCATGAAAAGAGTTGACATAATTATCACTAAGGTCCACATGTGCTTCACTGCTTCTATCATGTGCTCATGCATAGAAGAAGAAAAAATGAATCGGTTTTTTTTCGTTACTAACAATAAAAGTTATTGTAGCAAACTAGCAATGAAATCCAAGGAGGGTAGGAAAGACAAAAGGCAAGTGTGGGGTTTGTGAAAGTAATAGTAAGAAAGAAACAGAGGTGGGGATGGTATAAAAAAAAGAAAGAAAGAAAGCGACTTTCGGTGGGGTAATAAGTTGAGGACAAAAGTTAAATAAAATTAGAAAAAAAATATATAATTAACAAGAAAACAAATGAAAACAGTATAACCAACAAAAATAATGGAGTAAACTATTCTTATAAAATTGTGAAGCTTAACCCAAGAAAATAAGATACCATTCAAACACCGAATGACACATGTTTTAGTCACAAATCCCAACTAAATATCTTTTTGAGATGTTTAAGAAATGCATTGACAGCAGTCCAAAGGGCTAAGAGCTGCAAAACCAATAATGTTCACACATAAAATTAAGGAGCAGAGATTGCTACACAAAGATGGACAAGCCTTTTCTACAGAAACACAGTCAATAATTAAAATCAGTGGTCTCCAATGGTCTGGCTTATAACTTTCATCCAATCGTAAAGTAAATACAAACATTTTTTTTCTTTGATTCAAATATTCAGTCAGCCCTGCTTTGAGCTTGATACTAGTTGGGCACTTCATGAGGTTCATAACTTTATGTACCAGTTAAATACATCGGAGACATTTTCCTTTCTGGTGTCATAATTTTTTATGATTGTTTTAAAAGGCATGAGGTGCACAGAGTCAATATGGGTCCCTTAATCCAAGGAATACATGAGAGGTGAAGCAGTGTGCCTTGGCTAATCAAAAAGCTACTATCTGCAATAATATACTGTTTGTCATTTTGGAACACCTTATTTGGAAAATCTCAATAATATCCGTATTACCTACCATACCATATCTAAATTAACACCGGAATTATTAATTGTTGTATTTTTAGGGGGGGTGGAAACACACCACCATTACTACTTTAATAGGCACCTGGACATGCCTCTTACACAGAAGTACCTTGAAGCTCCCTAGAGAAAATCATCCTCTGGATTTGCATCTTACTGCTTTAGGCACACCTAAATCATGCATTTAACAAACGAAAAGTAACAAATGACATCTTTCGAATCTAATCTTTACACCTTTTTTTTTTTGGGAGGTGGGAGGGCATAATTAATTTATATTATACACCCCACAGTAATAACATTTACAGTAGAGTCATCTCAGCACAACAACTACAACCCCCTCCCCCCAGCCAAAAAAAAAAACAAAAAAAGATGCCTTCCTGACCAACAATAAATCACATATTTGTACAAAGGGATGAAAGATTAAATTTGTGCATCATATAGGATTCACTTACAAAGAGAGAAAAACATTCTTTGCTTTGAAGACTGAAAATCAATGCCCCCAGATTTGTTGTAGACCTCCAACCAGTGCTTGTACAGCTTTAATTTGACGCCAAAAGGGGCAGTGGCAACGGAATCCTAAAACATTTCGCAAATCAATGTTAAGGTCCAAAAACCTGCTGAACACACTTATACTTTTGAATGAGTTACCATCTTATGCTCTTTTAACTGTAAATATGTTATAACTGCGACTAATTTCGTTTTCAAGAAAACAAGAGGGAAGAGCATAGATCCAGAATGATCAGTAAAGAAGTGTCTTCCAAGAATTAAAGATATTATCCCTTTGTTCTTTTTTTAAGTGCATCACTTTGACTATCACGGAGTATAAGTAAAACAAAAATGGCTCTGTAAAAGCCACACTAGTACACTACCCTTTTACCGCCCAAGCCGTTTTGTTTTACTTATATGCCGTCTGAGCCATTTTCATTTTTATTTTACAAATATGAAATTGACCCCTAATTGCTTTTCCCCAATCTGGCTATTCAGCCATAAAACATGAGACAGTGTAAAAGGGTAAGGACGTGGATTTTAGTAGGTTATTTAGATCAACCAGCAACATTTCCACATCAAAGTTGGCGCACAAAAGATATTGATAAGAGGATGAGCAGGTACCTTCTGTAAACTATCTCCAGTGCCCATCCATATACAATTGCTTGATTCTAAAGCAGGCATATTCCATTTATACTTCCATTTCCTCGTTAACAATTTTTCAATGTCTTCCGTTGACAATTTGTGGGTTATATGAATACCAAAATTACTGCAAGAATAACCCCCAGAGAAATATATCAACACTAAAGCATCACAAAACAATATAAACTCACTCCAATTTCAAATCTATTCGACCTGCAACACTCAATGGCAATTATCACACATTTCTATTCAAGCCTTTCCACTTCAAACAATTCTGACTAGGAGTAGACATAATGCCAAGGTCAAAATAAAAATTAGAAAACAGCATGAAATTTCTGTTGTAAAAAGAAGAGAATGCCATTTTGATTTAGATTTATCTTCCACTTCAACAGCTTCAACATCTCAACAAGCTTCATATACGAAGATTCCAGAATTGCATTCACCAAGTATTACATGTTAAGAAAAAGAATAGAATTTTCCACACTAATCTACAACCGAACAGAAACAACTTTGAAATATTCCTCCATAATATAATCTGACCAATTAACAAACTTTTCTATCTTATTTGCCTCTTAAAATATCAATGAATTATTAGTTTTCTCTTAGGAAACCAGAGTACTATTACTTGCCAGTTCTAAAATATAAAGCAATAACAAAAACTTCTCACTAACTTGTTCATATAACTATAAATTAGTATTTATATAAAATAAAAGAGAAGTTTTGTAAAAGTTTTGTACATACACTGTTAATTTGTAATGATTTTTAAAGTATGTATATCACCTTTGGCTTTGAGATGAACTAGAAAGACCCTCGGCAATGTCTTCTCCTAATCCATTCTCTGCATCTGAGAAATCATCATCTACTGTTAAGTCAGTAAGCTCATCATCACTGGATGTAATGGCATCACCCTTCCCACTATTTCTGTCAATGTTATCATCAGAGCCTAAAAGCAAGAGAACAAGCAAGCATGGGAAAAAACCAACTGATTAGTGCTACGAACTGTACTCCAAGACAAAAACAGAAGCAGAAAAGAATAAACAAAAGTAAAAAATCCAATATTCAAAACAGCCAATCCACACCTTGTAATAGCAATTTCACAAACACAATGCCTTCCAAGAGACAATAAGACACTAGTGTGATATCAGAATCTAGCAAAGGATGCTCTAGAGTCCAACTGTCCAGGGTTCCTCCACAAAGCCAATCAGGCACTTGTTAGTTGTTTACCAACCATTGACCAGGGGGTACAAAAGAGACAAAGACCTGGGCTTCCAAGGATTGTCGATTGAAGCTAGAGCATCCCATGCATTCCATTGGAGATTTTACATACTTAAATCAGTAGTAGCAAAAAGGGGGTCAAACTCTAGCAGGAAACAATAAGAGTCATGTTCAACACTAAGAGTTGTTCTTGAACACCAAATTACTGAAACCCAGATTTACTCCTCCATTTTCATTGCCATCTTACATGAGCAAGACTCACTTTATGCACAGCACAGCATGCACACATCCGGCAATATAGCCAACCTTGGCCTTCTTTGGTGCATATCATTAGTGTTAATTATACCCAACATCGAAGTCCACACAAAAGATCCCACCTTAAGAGAAACTTTAGCCCTTCCAAATAAATTTATCAACAGGCAGAGATGATACATTGGAGACTTGATGTTAGTCAATTAAGTCATGAGTTCAAAACTTCTTTCATAAAAATCCTTATCCAACCCCACCTATGGCAACATGAACTTTTATGGTTTTACCAGCATCTTGAGAGACAAGAAGGCATGTTCTACAAAATCAAAGTAGAATGACAAAAAGGCATAATCCTCCATTTGGTATTTAGTATGTCATTCCAAGCAACTCCTTTACAGTTAAAAGGACTTCTAATCCAGCATTGACCACAATATTCATCTTAGCTATTCTTAAGTCTTAACTCATTGTTGCACCCTCATACCACCAATAACCTAAGGAAATCTAATTATGAACAATATCTAATTCTCTGATAATGTTCAAACGCACATGACTCAATTCCTAACCAGTTAAGACAGGTTGAAACATTGTTTTCAAAATTTCAAAGGCCCTGCCATTGAGCACCACCACTCTTTTGATCATCAACATGAACTAGTAAACAACAAAAATAAGCATTAATGATTACTAAAAGAAGTATACAAAACAAATTGAGAACAAGTTACCATTGAAATCATCCTCTTCATCGTCCTCGTCATCTCTCTCATCTTCAGAATCACCTCCCTTTATACTTTTTCTTCCTCTACATGATATTGAAGCACTAATACATCAATATAATAAAATCAAAATTGTTTTCTTATAAATATCAAGATAAAAAAAAATTCTTCATACAACCCCCCTTCTCTTCTTCAGAATCACCTCCCTTCATAATTTGTCTTTCTTTACATCATATCAATATAACATCCAAATATTTTCTTATAAATATCATGATAACAAAATTCTTCATTCCCCCCCCCCCCTTTCTCACCTTGGTCAACAAGTAGTAAGGTGATTTTAACTTTTTACAAGAGCCTCTGTAGGCTTACATATACTGCCACTTCGAGATAATAGTTAAACTTTGCCTTTAATTACTTTTAAAATACTTCTCCCGTTCGTTTTTAGTTGACACTTTTTTATCACGTTTACCAACCCATAAGTTAAACAATTTATATATCTAATTATAGCAAGTAAAATTTATAAAAAGTTGGTTTTATGAAAATAGACAATGAGACAATTCTAAAAAGAGCCCATATGACTATGTTTTATCATCACTATAAATCACAAAATCAGTCAAAGTAGAGTCCATAAATAGTGTCAAAAGTCAAAACGTGTCAACTATAAAAGAACAGAGGAAGTAGTTGTTAAATTTTCACTTTTTATATTTTGGGATATATGGCTCACATTTTATTATTACTTCTTTCTAAACGTTTGGCCAACTTTTATTAGCTTATTGCTCTTTTTCTACCACTACTATACATTAATCTATTATTCTTTTCTTACAATATTACAGTTTTTTCACTTCTCCCTCCTACTTTTCCAATGGTTCTATTTAAAAGTGAAGTGTAACCATTATTTCAAAGCAGGAGTAATTTCGTAGAACGGCATAAAAAGGGGATGATATTCAGAATTGTCTGCCCAATGAAATATTAAACATACAACTCATGTAATGAAATACTACTCCAAAATATAACATGTAAAGGTAGTTGTCCAAACTGTCAGCCCAATGTACCACTAAATCACTAATGCAGGGTAGAAATTAACCAGCTCTAAAAAGTTGAAACAGCAAACAACAGTCAACCAGCATTGTACTGTTGAAAATAAAAGCATATACAAACAGCTTTCCATAATAAGTACAAAATGGAGACTACTGGCCATACAAAAATAAAATCAATTACCTTTTCTGATGCACCTCAGCACGTGAATTGCTAGTTGTATCTAGTTTCTTTAGTAGATTATCAAAAACAGAAGGCTCACTTGGAGGCTCTATTTCCTCCTCCTCATCCTCTTCATCTCCATCTTCATCTTCATCTTCATCTTCCTCCTCTTCTTCATTGTATTCATTTTCTTCCTCTACATCCTCTTCTACATCATCTTCAAAAGTTGTAGTCTTCACATGCTTCTTGTATCTATCATCTGATTCAAAATTGATTAACAAGCACAAATAGTTGTAAGCAACATGAGAAAGTGTTTGTTTGGAGGGGAAACATTTTCTTGGAAACCATCTTCCTTTTTCTCGTAATAAACCAAACAAAGAAAACTAATTTACAATTGTTTTTTTTCTCTAAATAAATGTTTCTATGAAATAATTTTCCAATTTCTGTGGAAAATGTTTTCCGTCAAACCAAACGAAGCTGAAGTATCATGGGGATAAAAGGCTGGAAAGTTCATCACATAATGGAGGCAGTTTGAGCAATGGTTGAAACACACATTTGATTCCATATCAAGAAAAATACAATTCTCCATAACAGAAACAAAGTAAGCAGTTCTAACCTTGGGAACCAGGATATTTGTTTCTAACATCAATGGGTTCGGCTTGACGACTCTTCTTACTAATTGTTCCAGAACTCTTGAGCTTGGTAAAAGGTCTACGACCTGAGAAACCACTCAAAATAAATCAGAACCCACCTGCACTTCTCTTTAGCCTTTCATAGGGTATACACTATACAAGAAATGTCAACAAATTCAATTTTCTGAAATTACAAACCAGATTTCCAATAAACATTATACAACCTAAGAAAAGTATACAAAAGAACGTATAGTGTATACAACCTAAGAAAAGTATACATAGAACGTATAGTGTAACGATGAGTACCTTGACTCCTGTTAAATCGTTTGGCCATTGATCACTGATTGCAAGCCTAGAAAAGATAAAAGAACCAAACTTAGGACATACAACTGAAAAAGAAAAGACATACAAAGTAACTAACAAATACGAAAACTCCTCCATTTTTAAGTAATGGTGACATTTGAAATTTTCCATCAAACGTTATATACATTAAATTTTATCTTCTACAAATACTAACAAATAACCAGCCTAAAGTGAACCTTTCATTCTACTAACCTTACATAGTTGTATACATTAAATTTTATCTTCTATTGAAAGGTCAATTTTCATAGTTCCAACCTAACATTAAACTATTAATGGGTTATATAAACAAAATTCTGCAACACATAATCAACCAAATATGACTCAATTATCAAAATATGCTCCAAAAATCACGTTAATTTCTTCTAGCTTAATAATATGAAGAGCAAATTTCAAGCAACGAATTTGATCGTTATACTCCTTACTAAGTTCAGTAATTAAACCAATAGTTCAACAATCCGCCTTAGAAGAACCTTAGATAGATTAAGGGGGTGTTTGGTTCGGATAATGGAAATGGAGTGGAAAGGAAACAAATAAGAGGGGGGAAAGGAATCATTTAACTATTACCTTTTCATTTATTTGGTTTACCTAATAGAAAGGAATCCCTAGAAAATGCAACAAACTTTACAAAAAGTTCGGTTTACAGTAAATTATTGAATGGCCAGAGACTTACTACTTTTACTTCTTCTTCCTTCCTCTTTCAAGATCCATCTTCCTCTTCAAGTATATAGCACCTAATAAAAAAACTGATACTTGACGACATCGACCATCTTCCTCTACTAAAAAAATCACTCCTTTGCACTACTCTAAAATCTTCTCTTTATCAAATTTTAATGAAAATTTCATAATTCTTTCCACTTTCTCTCTCATCCCACTCGATTCCCAATATACATCAATCTATATAACTCAAAATCAATTCAATTGTTTTTCCCTTTAATTCTATATCAATTGTGAGAAATGATAGAAACTACAATAACTAGGTTTTGTTTCTTCACTACTTTTCTGGGTTGATTTCGGGTTACGACCTACGAGATGAATTGATAAAGTTCACTATATCAATGATAATGTCAGAACTCTTAATTAATTCTTTTATTATTTTATTTTTTTGATGTTATGTTTGAGTGATTGTATTATTTTTCATGACTATTGTTAATTTTATGTTTATTTTTGTTGATTTTGATACTCTGTTTTTGTGAAAAAGGGTCATTTTTGTGGAAAAAAAGGTCACTTCTGTGAAAAAAAAAAGGGCACTTTTGTGAAAAAAAGGGGTCACTCTTGTGAACATAAAGGATCACTTTTGTGAAAAAAAGGTCATTTTTGTAAAAATATGGGTCATTTTTGTACAAAAAAAAGGGTCACTTTTGTACAAAAAAAAAGGGAAATTTTTTTAAGAAAAAAGGGTCACTTTTCGTAAAAATGTTCGATGTACAATAAAATTATTGTAAATCGGGGGCATGCAAAAGTTTTTGTTTAACTTGATTGAGTTACATACAATTATTAAAATACCATAAAAACAAGTTAGCTATAATACTAAATCGATGATCACTATTAGCTAACAACTAATCATGCAAAAGGTATTGAAAAGTAACTAATACCCATGTCTGAATGTGCCAAAAATTTACCCTGAATCACAATTATTGAATCAATAAATTAAGGAAAGTATTTGCGAGATAGAATGAAAAGGGAGGAAGACGGGATAAAAACTGAAAAGAGCACTCAAACTCTATTGAGCATTTCATCAAACACCTGGTAGGCATTAATGCAATATACAAAATTGAACAAAAACAATGTATCAACTAACCCCCGAATATAATCAACAATATTATCAATAATATTGAACAATTATATACACAAAAGTTCCAACAATAGCATAATTTACTCACAAAATGGTTTTTGATGACAAATTTTCAACCAAAAGCAAATAAAATCAACGTATATAAATGAAAAAAAAAAATAGTTAAAAGCTAAAAAAAAATTACAAACAACTGCAACAATGATAGCTAGTAGTGTAGATAGCAAGTAGAGAGAAAATGAAGGAGAGAAATAGAAATTTTTTGATTGAGGAGGATAAGGGTATGTGTTACCCTCTTCAATCACACGAGAGGTAACAAAGAAAGAAACGGCTTACCTCTGAAGCTGCTTGACCTGCTTCAGTGTAGTAGAGAAAGCTTAAAAGCCGCTTCAATGGAGGACTGACAGGAGAAGGAGTTGCAGCGGCACAAGCACAACCAAACGGGTGAAAATAAGATAGAGGGTGAGTTAAGCATAACGTTGGTGATTATGTTTTATATTTTTTCACTGTTTGGTGATTATGTTTTTTTTTTTTTTTCACCATTTGGTGATTAGAGGGGTAATTCTGCAAAAAAAAATAAAAAGGAAGCAAAAGCTTAATCACTTGTCAGATATGGGTTAAAAACTTAGTTACTTGTGGTTAACCAATAGGAAAAAAAACAGGTATTTAATTTTTTTTATTCACACGAGGCACGTCAAATTTGTGAAAATGACGCCTCTTATGAACTTTTCCCAAAATTTCCGTATTTTTTTTTCTCTTCGCCTCATTGTGTTGTGCGAGATAGAAGAATTCTTTTTAGGGTATATCATCAGGGTAATGATTCATCAACCCGCGAGCTCTTTTTATGAGGCCCAAACGGGAGAGCACTTCTTCCCCTTCCCCACGTTTCCTTTTTTTTTTAATTTTCTTTACTAGTTCTTCAAACTTCACTCTTAATGAATAATGGTGATTTGCTCTTTTGGAAAGCTTGATTAAAGGAGTTCGGCAATTTGAAAGGTAAATTTGTACTTGATCTCTTTGGTTAAGTTATTCATAATTGCCTCAATCGTTGTGTCGTCTTTAAAATCGAAAAAAGTAGGGTTTAAATTTTGTCAAAAATTGTGGAATTCTTCCTGAATTTAGGGTCGAATTTGGTGTTTGATGATAAAATTTCGTATTTTTACCTTTAGATTATTATTGTAAGACTCTTGATTTGCTAATGCTTGGTTAAATTGGGTGGGTATCTTGACTTTAGTGTAATTGGAAGGAGTAGTGTGAAACAGAGTAATTGTACTTAATTGAAAGAATTTAGTATTTAATGTCAAGTAAAGTGTATTTATGTGTTAATTTGTTTGTAAATTATATGGAAGTTGTTTTATTTTCAATATGTGTTGATGTTAAACAATAGTATTGAGTTTTTAATTGAATGTTTTAGATGGAGATGATCCCAATGGCACTTGTTCGATTTGGTGGGGTGTGGAAACATACTCTTGATTTATACTTTTGTAATTTATCCCAACAGCTAGTATTATATATTCAGCTTTGAAACTCATTTCAGGATTTAATATTGATAAGTGATTATGTTTTTGGGAAAGTGATTAAGTTTATGTTGGGTGACTAAGTTTTTTTTTTTTTTTTTTTTTTTTGCTGAGTTCAAAACAGGTTAAAAGGTGTTCCGGTGAGTTAAGTGCTCGGTTTTTCTAACTCAATCACCAAAGGGTGAAATAAAAAACTTGATCACCAAAGGGTGAAAAAAACAAAAACTTGATCACCATTTGTATACTTAACTCGATAGAGGGTAAACCAAAAATTAAAATATGGAGTTACTCCGTAATTCGTATGTCCTAATGGTCCTATGAGTAGAGCAGTTTACCGAAAAACTGAAAACCCGTTCCGTTATCATTTCGAAAATTAAGATATTCGATCCAATAATCATAACGATTAGGGTATCCATTCCAATAATTTAATATCGAGTATCGTTTTTGGGTATTATTTTAAAATTAATGGTTATTCGTTCCGATCCAATAAGCAATTGTTTGTTTTTTTGTTTATACTTCAATCCATTTTTTCAATATTTAAATTCTTACTTTACTTCATAATCACTATATAATATCAATGATTAGTAATATTATTAATAAATTGATCAAGATCATGTGATATTGTTGTTAATTAGTGTTAAAAAAAATATCATAATAACTAATTTTTTAAGTTTAATTATCACCTTTAAAAACCTTATTGGGTACCCGATAACCGATCCGAAAATCCGGGTATCCCGTACCTAAGGGTGTAAATGAGTCGAGCCGAACCGAGTACTACCTTGTTCATGTTCAGGTTCATTTAATTTAGGCGAGTCCGAGCACGATCCCAAGCTTTCAAACGAGCTCAAAAATTTGTTGAAACTCAGCTCATTTAGATTATTATATGTTCGCGAACGGTTCGTGAAAGACTTGTTTATTAAACGAGTTGATAAACAAGTGTTTCATGAACGAGCTTAGTAATAAACAAGGTTCTCTAATGAGCTTTGTACTTTTGACATTTGAAAATCTTTAAATTAGCATAATAATTAAATTATATTCATAAACCTTAGAATTAAATCTTAATTATTAAAAAACTTCATAATTAAATTAAGAATTGTGAAAAAATAAAAAAAAATTATGAATATAAATAAAGGAGTAGCTCGCAAACATAGATAAACGAGTTGTTCATGAAATTATATGAACGAACATATCTATTTTCATGTTCAAACTCATTTATTAAAATAGCTTCAAAATTTGTTCAAGTTCGGCTTATTTATCAAATAAACGAACATGAACGAGCTTCAACTGAGCTTGAACCAGAGTAGTTTATTTATCGGCTTGGTCCATTTACACCCCTAGGTCGTACCCGGACTTATCAATTTGATCTATGGATATCACTTTTAGTGATATTGGTTATCGGGTACTCAAACCATTATTACCAACGGTACGGGTACCTGTCCTATGCTCACCCCTAAGTATAGGTGTTCAAAACCGTTTCAAATCGGACATTATCAATCTCATAGCAAAATCCCTCCGTCCCTTAATAATTGACATATTACACTTTTTAAGGGCCCGTTCTGATTTACTGAAAACAACTAAACCGAACAGAAATGATTGGGGCTGAACTGAACTGAAATGAGTTGTTTATGAGAGAAGAAATTAAGAATTAGACTGAAAATAAACTAAACTAAAATTAAGCTGAACAAAATAGGCCCTAAGTACTTCGTTTAATTTAGTCATTTATGGTCTGTTTTATTCAGCTTAATTTCAGTTCAGTTCTTTAGCTATTTTTTTTTGTTTTTTATGATTTAGCTAATGATATTGTTGATGACAATTTAATTTAGGCATGCCTTTGGGTCGATCTTTTTAAGTTCATCTTTATATCAAACGTCAGCTAATAGTAGTCAAAGATGTAGGAGCTTTTTGGATTTAGGGTGGCGGGAGGACAGAGATGAAGGCGGTGTAGCGCGATGTGTAATAATTGTAACACCCCAATAATTCTCTCTTTAAATATGTGAGGATCCTGAACAATATTCAAGAGAATTACTGGCGTGCTACCGCCACGTGTTCAAACGTTAAGGCTTTATCAGAAAATAGCAGCGGAAAAACTAAATCAGTTATAAATAAGTTTCAAAACCAACGAATGAAACCAAATTAAGTCATACAACTTGGAACCATTAAGGCCCTTATTCAAAACCCAATAAAAGTAGTAAGTGATTAAATTCAGTGTTCAAATAAATTCAAACCCAAAAGAAATAGTGTCGAATAAAATCGAATTAAAATAAATTCAAACTTGCAAAAGAAATAAAATGCGAACAACCAACTCTCTACTCAAGATCCCACAACCCTGATGAATGCTGCATGTGTAAGAACCTGTGGTAATTCTGCTCCCCAATATTACAAGTGTAAAAATTGGATCGTCACAGGGTCATTAAAAGGCGAAGGCCATGACCAAAGAAAGACACACAAAGCACGCAATCAGCAAAGCTGAGTACATACAAGCTGCAAAATAAATTAAGAAATCCATAACATGCTACTAATAATCAATCATCATGCATCATTAAATTATAGACTCAACACACGACTCAACTATTTATATTACTAAGACTCCATTAATTAATAGGTAAATCATTATTTTTATTCATTGGATTACGCAATAGACAAGGTTGTCCAACCCATGCTCCATTTGGAACATCAATAAAAGAAAAACCCCATGCCTCCTTTTGGAAACATCAACAAACATCCAACGACCACGGGCGCGACTCCGTGACCGTAGTTAGTATGAGATCTCACCTAACTCTTAGTTTTGAAAAATATTTGAAATAAGAGACTCGTAGATCAGACGACCTCGAGAAAAGTACACGGCTAATACCCCATGTACCCCAACCCCTGATTGTCATTACTCCAGAAGTGCACCAATCTAGAGTTTTATTGCTCATCCATCTTGCACTTTACGTGATTTACAAGTTTAGACTTGGTGATGACTCATATGCATAACAATACAATCAATCCAATATCAATTCAATCAAGTAAAACAACTTTTCAATTTCAATTCTTGATTTATTAGTGGCAAGCAACATTTATTATTTATTCCTTTACTACCTCGGTGTATAAACACCTTGAGTGCATAAGGCACCCCAAAACCTTAACCTCGTCTTAGAAGAATTAAATTCTTCCTTTACTCATCCTGCTTGCATAATCATGAATGAGTAATAAATTAATCATTACACCAATCATATACCTTTGCCTCTAAGCGCACCTTGCATAATTAGAGCACAAATAATACTTGCAATATAAAATAGTGCACGTCATACGAAATTCACAATGTATAACCAAACAATTTAACTTAGTCATCCCTATGCATGATACTAAGTTCTCGATCCGTCGTCCTTAAACATGCACCTAAAAGAAAGGTTTCGTAACTTGTACGTACCTTGAGCAAACGAATTAGTATGCCACTTTACTAACTAGAAATCACCTTCAATAAACTCCTCTCCTAAGCCAAATAATAACATTTCAATCAATACCCAATCAATCAAATTTACAGCAATACTAACTTACTTTAAAACCTTCAAAATCCAAATCAAACAACACTTTAAAACCTTCCCTTTAGTTTAAAGGCTTATATATAGTTCTTTAAATTTTCTTCATAAAAACCTTAAAATACACTCTTATACATGAAATTACAGCAAGTTCAATGTCTAATAAAAATCTGAAAATTATATAAAAACCCCTAAAAATCTCCCTTTTAAATGGGTGATTAAACCCTCTTTATAAAACATCAAAAGTGGTACTTAGAAACTATTTCCAACACTTAAAACTTCAATAAAAACATATATTTATGCTTAATTAACTTTAAACATAATTAATTTTATTAATCAAACTCAAGGATAATATTTGAAGTATAAAAAAAACTTCGTTAAAATCAAAAACTGCCCGAAAATCATATTTAGAGGCTGAATTTGGCCACGCGAAGGTGGTGCTCACTTCTAAAGATAGTGAGTCTTTCTTAAAACGTTGTTTCCACATGGAAAACTCTACTTTTTCATCAAAATCGGATGAGTTCAGAATCTGATCGGGATTAAAACGAGATTAATATTAACGAACGAAAATCTAAAAATTTAAACACGAATATATGTGTTCAAAATAATCTGGAATTAAGTTAAACTAATCAGTAGTTATAATCACCGAAATTTCAAAACATCAT